ATGACCCACCCTTAGATACACCACTGGTCATTTACTTACAGACTGACTCATTTGACATCCATTGCAAAACAAGTCACAGTAGTTACGTAGTATGTTTGTCACCCTGTTCCTTTATGCCCATTTTTATAGTGGGCAAATCTCGACGACTAGGGGGGCAATTCTGTTGAGTGCGGGGGCATTTGCCCCCCCAGTTAACATGTTAAAATAGGCCCTGGTTATCAGCAGTGCCTGGAGAATGGCCTTAGGGTCGAAATGAAATGCGAGGCTGAGACGTCTTTATGACCGATTGTTTGCTACTTAGGTACTGGATAGTTATTAACGGTGCCAGACGCCGTAGTAAACCACTGCGGGCTGCAACTGCTGGCAGCGGAACGGTGGGAGACTCCGTGGGAAGACAGTGCAGCATGCACATTTTTATAGCAAACACCTTATAAGAGTCGGTGGCAAGCGCCGTGGTAAAGGAGTAGGTATATATCGGTCGGTACCTACTCATGGTAGACGCTAGGGGAGATTCCATGGCTTCTGCTGCGCAGTGCAGAATGAGGCTGTAGTGACGTTGTGGTGCCGTGGTCCGGCCGTGGGAACCCTCCAGCTCCGTGAGAACCGACGCCCGTCGATACTGGAGCGTGATCACCTCGTAAAGCCGTGAACGCGTCCCGTGAGAAAACACGAGCCCGGCGTCCGGTCGTGCGTGGATGGTTTCCATTTTACTGCGCTTGGCTAGTGGATTCTATGGCGAGAGTTAATGTCACGTGAAGATGACCGTCGTCTCGCTGACGCCCCAGCACACGTCCGCTGTTGTTTGGTTTGCTGTCCGGACGGACGGTCACACCACTGCCGTCGGGGTGGTCTGGTCCCCCCCGCCACATCCGCCTGCAGTTCAGGGCTCGGTCCGGCCCAGTGCAGTCCGACGGTCCGTGACACAGAGCAGCTCCGGTGGCCGGGCCGGACCGACCCCGAGACGGACGCATTTCTCCGCGAGCAGCCGTCAGCGCGCGGACCGGCGGCCGGCGGCGGAGGGCGGGCCGACCGGCCGGCCGGACGGACGGCGGAGTTGGCAGCCGGTGGCCGGCTGACGGCCGGTGTCGCCGCCTGCCACTCCGGCTGGGTCCCCTCCAACTGGGCGACCGGTCACCGCGTGCCGGCCGCGCCGCTGACCGGCCCGCTGCACACTGGTCGGAAACGCTCCAGCGAGAGGCCAGCGGCCTTTCCGCAAAAGTTTTTTGCTTGTTATTCCACAACTAGTGAAGCAAACTTCATAAAACTTTGCATACCTTCTCTGTCATATGTAAGCTATCATTTGGATGTCAAGCACTAAATATATGACGTGAACCTGTTAAGTTATGACGTCATAATTGAGTAAAATACAGGATCTAGCACTACTTTAAGTCAACAAGGGAAATTGGGAGCTGCTATTCGGGCACCGGGAATGGTTTCATGCACTCCTTGCAAGGTCCAGTGCTTCACTTTAGCATTGTTGACTTTGCGTGACGTCATTTATGACGTCACTAAGGCCATATAAGTTTTTCGTCAATAACTCCTGAGCAGGTGGAGCTAGAGAGTCGGGAAAGCCACCATTGGACTCAGGAAGACCTACCGAATCGAATGATATGCGATATGACCTCCTTCAACCATTTTTGTGACCTGAGGGGCTCCGACTTGACCTTGACCCGAGGTTAACACCTTAACCCTCGCCCGTATAGGGGGGTCGAACGGACCGCCCCCATGGTTTTTCGCGAATAACTCGCGTAAAAAGCGGCCGATCGCGATGAAACTTTCAGTACCTTCGCGTTATTCAATTTTACATTTACCCTGAAAATTTCATGACCCTGACCCGAATGACCTTTGACCTGTGACCTACTTTTCGAGACCATGTTTGGCCAGAATCGCGATTCGGCGTATGTCGGCTCGCATTAGCGGCGCGTTTGCAGTCTTTTCGTGGTTTCAAGCGTTCAAACATGTGATATGGTGTTGCCCCCATGCATTAGGGTGGGTGTCAAGGTCACCTGAAGGTCAGGTCAGGTCATTGACCTTTGATGACCTCGGTTCACTTTTTCGAGTTTTACATGTTTCTAGGCCAGTTTTTGGAGCTGAATTCGAATTTAGCAACCATATGAACATTTACGAAGTAGTTTTGGTGCCTTCGTAACATGTTACGAAGCTGTCAGAGGCGGTTGACACCTACTAGGAATACCCGGTAGGACCCCTACTGGTTGACCTGACCTGACCTGAGCCGACCTGGACTAAATGCATGAAGACATCATCTGTGATCAAAACTAACATGATATTCGTGATCAGCACCCCAAAAAACCCCATAGCAGCTACACTTTGCGACGTTCTAACAGGTCCCGATTTTCCCGACTTTTAGGTCATTGACCTGACCTGCAAGGTCAACCAATGACCTAGGACCTTAAAATTGGGTATCATCGGCTCCCTCTCGTCACGGGCAACACGCTCGTTTTTTCCGCGAAGCTCTAGCTCGATCAGGGGCGAAACGGCAAGGGGGGTCCAACGGACCCCCCCCCCCCCTTATACGTTCGCGGCTGGAAAAACACCAATACAGGCGAGGGTTAAGTTGACTTCACCCGAACACCAAGTATAGCATTCAACGCGCCTGAGCTAGACAAACACGATGATGCCAAAATCGCGGCAGTGCGACCATTTTTGGCAAAGTAATTAACCTAAAACCGAGCCCGTGCCTTATGGCACTTACCTGACCTAAGAGGCCACTGGCTGACCTAAGACCTTAAAATCGGGTAGTACCTAATTGTTGCGTCTTATAACGGCACACAAGCTCGTTTTTTCCGCGAGGCTCTAGCTCAATTAGAGGCGAAACGGCGAGGGAGTTGTACTTACCAACCCTCCCCGGTCAATATAGAAAACCAATCGGTCCGGCCATGGGTTAAATACCGGAATTGTGAGCTAATGTAAAAAGACGGCCCAAGGTAACCCGACGTCAGTGACAGGTGTCCTATATTTGCAGCGTCTTATATTCACGAAGGTTTCAATTTCTTCTTCAGCCGAGTGATGGTTGTCAATGAGCAAGGCTCTCTAAATGCAAGCCGTAATTGCCACGCAATTTGTGGAAGGCTTTTGATGTCAATGCATACATACCTAAATGCATACATAAAACGTGCTTTTCACAAAGTTCATAAACTCAAGCGCATCTGTTTTTAATGACCAGTCAACTACGCATGGATGCGTGCAGGCCACACAGGTCAGCGTAAGCCGGGCGCGGCGGCCGAGCCGAAACTGGGGCGGGGCGGGCGGTAGTTGGGTAGGAAGAGCGGCTCCTGCAAATTTTGCGCAAATATGCGCAGTTAGCTTTTATGTTGCCCTGGTGTAAATTTAAATCCTGCTTCATCTCACAAAAAATCAGAGTGGAACTAGATGGGACTACCTGTTGTTTCCTTACCTAAACTTTGCAGTTATATTCCAGAATCACTGTAGGAGAGCCTTCATAAAAAAGCTACAGTAAATCTTAGTTAGGGAAAAAGTATACCAAAAAATTTGCACTGACCAGTCGGCAACTTCATAACGAACATTTTGCTGCATAATATGTGGGATTTCAATTTGGTGTCTATCAGCATTAAGACTCTGAATATCCGGCTCAAGAAACCTCTTGCTCCGCGTCAGTTTCCGAGTTCTGGGATACCCCATCTTCGGGGGCTGATTACAGTTATTTTTGGTTACCCGAATTAGTTTTTTTGGCCTAAGTATAATAATTTGATCAATTTCAAATCGATCTATATAAAAAATAATCCGAAACTCCGGAATCGCCCGTGGCCTCTCGTGAGGGCGTTTCCGACCAGTGTGCGCTGCGCCGGCCCGTCACCTCGACAACCTGCGTTACCGCGGGACCGACCGTGATGACCGTCTCCGGCCGCTGGGGTCTACTTTCCGACTGAGACGGAGGTGTGCCATTTGTCAGGATTTGACCTGCCGTCTCACACCTGTACAACCACCATTGATCTTCTGCCACCAGGCCGCCGTTTGTCTTTCTAAATCATGACGTTTTTCTTTGCTCATGCTCGTGGTCTCAACTCCCAACTGCGCTATCTGAGTCGGTTGGTGCGAGAAAATTCCTACAACCTGTCCCTGTTTAAAATATTTTAAATTAAAAAGCCAATGACTGGAAACGCAAAATCCTACTCGACCTTATGTTGCAATCGGCGTGCGAATGGTAATTAATTTATCATGCGTAGACACTACACGTATCACGAATAAAGTCATGCCCGGGCACTCTAGGTGGACATCGAGCTACCGCCAGGCGCCATCTATTGGCCAGCTGTCACAACGTTTCGCTGCGGACCGAGACGTTTTGTGGAGACTGTGACATGGTCTGTCCGGCATGATGAAATGCCCACATTCCGGCCAGGTCAACGCCATTCCAAACGCTAATGGGGGGCATATGTCTGCACTGGACTGCTAACTTTTACATTTGTTCTCTTTGCGATTCCGCTGTAATTCCTTCTTTACTTTTGTTTTCAGCGGCCGTTCTCTAGGTTTGCTGCCACCCATGAGACACTGATGTCACTTAGAGTTAGAGCCTAGAGCCGTGAACCGTAACGACCTTCCGGGGCTCACCGTGAGCTCAGTGACGTCACCGCCGCCGTCCGTGACGTCACGCCGGCTCACGGCTCTAACAAAGCGGCGCATTCAGCGGCGCGGGTGATTAGATAGCTGGTTGACAGGGTTGTCGCTGACAAGTTGGACGGCGTCCAGGAGCCCGCGCTCCGGCGATACCCAGAGACCGTATGTCAGCCAGTTTTGAGACGCTGTGTAATGAGTCGTGCTGTCATGTGCTCTCTCCCCCTGTCTCGCTCTCTCCCCGCTTTTCCTGTCAGATATAATTTGATATTTTTCATATTTCTGTGAAATGTACGAATGAATAAAACCATAATTGGTGCAGCACTAGCGTACCATGACTGGTGTGCTCAATAACGACAGTGCTTGCAACTCTGACCTGACCTGACCCGCTGTGTGACCCGTGTCGGCAGGCGGCGGCGGCGCGCCCAGCTGCGCTCCGACTACTTGGCGTTCACGTCTGGCGGCGCGGCCTCTGTGAGCGTGGAGGAATGCCTGGCGTCGCTGGCCCGCCGGCCGGAGCCCACCACCGTGCCCATCACCGGCTGCGTCCTCGTCATGACCGGCTACGTGCTGGCCGGCGGCGTGCTGTTCGGCCGCTGGGAGGGCTGGAGCTTCCTCGACGGCTGCTGGTTCTGCTTCATCTCGCTCGTCTCGGTCGGATTCGGCGACCTCGTCCCCGGCTTCTCGGTACGCGATACGGACAGCACCAGTGTCGACGTCAAGCTGAGTCTGTGTGCGGTGTATCTCCTGCTAGGTATGTCGCTCATTGCCATGTGTTTCTCGCTGATGCAGGAGGACGCCATAGGGAAGCTGAAGAAGTTTGTGACGCGGATGGGCTGTCTGCGACAGACCGACGATTGGGACGCTACCACGTCCAGCGACCCGGCCTAGTGAAGGCGAGGCGGCCGGTCGGCCGGACTCACGGACCAAGGGCGCGTCAAAAGGCCGGACTGCGTGGCATCTGACCTCACTATGAGAGGTAACGACCAATGGTGACCGGACAGGGAATACGTGCGGCTCGCGAGCGATAGAGGCCTCGCACGTGAACTGTGGCGGACCAAGGTACCGCGAGTGACAGCTGTACTGCTTCGTGTGTGGCTGATGGAACCGCTGGTAGACAGGTGTCCAGTGAGGAGGCTATCTCGATAGTGCGCGGTGAGGCCGAGGGCAGCCCGGCAGTGACGCTCACAGTCATGGACAGCTTCAGACGCTGTATTCGCCGTTTGTACAGATGCGTCGACCTCTGGCGGACGGTGCCGACAGCGCCGCCCAGCGGGCCAACGGCGAACCATGCACCGTCAGCCGCGAGCGACATATAGCCGATATACGCAATACAACGCAGTCAATGTAACACAAAAACATCGAGACACTGCAACCGACACGAGAGACGCGACGCCGCCGGCCAGCGCCGCATGGAACATAGTAGAAGCTGGCGGCATCGCCGCACGCGCACGACGTACAATAATACACAATGCCACCCCGCCCCGTGACGTCATCCCACGAAAGCCGCATCAGCTGATTCTGACGTCACCAGATGTCCAATGACCCGTCTAATCCGGCGTCGCAAGAATCAGCTCTCAAGGACAAAACAGCAGTGGTTCGCAAAGGTGCTAGCAAACACACCTTATAAAAGATACGAATTGTTCACCAAAAACCTCCGAAATCTTGTCCAATAATCTTCTCCGACACATCTAGTTGATTTTCTCCATTGCACCGATGCACCACAAATCGCCGGGTATCTGACTTGTGTCAATAGTTATCGTCTGTACACCTGAGGTGGTCGTCCGACGGCCGGCTCACTGTCCGACGGCCGGCGACTTTTTGTCCGAATCCTGCGAGTTGGGCGTGGAGGCCTGCGGCGGCAGCGGCCGCTCGCCGCTCGTCCAGCTGCCCCCGGAGGTCAGCGGTGACGAGGTGTAGTTGTTCTCCTCGAGGAGCCCCGCGGCAGGCGGAGCGGCCTGTCCACCGCCGCCGCCGGCCGCCGCCGGGTCGCACTGGGTGTTCTCCAGCCGCGTGATGAGTCGCTCATCCTCGTCGCCAAACTCGCCACCCATCAGAGACGGCTCGCCGACCATCATTACGTCCTGCCGAGGGAGGACATGTGTCACAGCGTGCTGAGACTAGGGGACCGGTGACAGGACACCGTGAGGGAAGGACGACGGTGTGGCAGAGTGAGAGAACGGAGGGAAGGGTATCGTCATAATATAACAAGCAGCAGTGTTACGTTATGGTAGAAAAGTGCGTCATATTTATGCTCCAATACCCATCTCAAAACAAATGGCGCGGTCGATGAGCCCTCAGATGAATTTTAATGCCAACGGTCATATCTCGCTATGTTCTCAGGCACTGACAGGAACAAGGGGTGTCATGAGCTGAGCTGATGCAGCGTGATAGGAATTGAGATAAAGCATGTTTTGAACGGAAAAATGGGATGTCAGGCATTTAGAAAACTAGTAAGAATAATGCTAAGCGAGAGGGCACATGTGGACGGGAGCAGACGCACCATTACACACCAGCATAGCATAAGGGAATATAGGGGGGGGGGGGCATAACACTGACAACACACAATACTGAAGCAACATGCAGCGGACAAGGACGATGACCAACCATCGCAAACAACCTGAAATGGTGCTAGCGTTACGCATAAATGCAGGGGTCGTAGGCGAATTTCTAGTGATGAATATTCACAGCTTTAATGGCCATTAATGTACATCACATTTTTTACTACACCTTTTTTCGATCCGAATCGGCATCTGGTCAGTTAGTTTCGGCAGATCTGCATTAGGAACGTCAGCTGGAGTGCGCTTTCGACAAACCACGCCTCAAACTCGGCATAGTGCAGCAGCGTGACATGGGGCATTTAATGTCGACAATGAGCGTGATTTCGACACTGGCCAATGGATTTCGGCACACGGCATAGGACTGTAACATCGGGCATTGGAAAAAGGCAAATTTCATTTTACAATGGCAATGGTCATGCAGTTTCGTTGGTGGTATAACTAGTTAAATCGAACAAATTTCAAACCATATTTTTTATATTGATGCGTTTTCAATGCTCACCACTAGAATTTATAGCATTTTTCCTTTTTTTAGAATTCCCTTGGATTAATGGAACACAAAATATGCAGCCAAAGCGATCGATGGGTCAGCCCGTAGGGTTTCCACCTTTCCAGAGGGCAGTTCTTTGTCCGGAAATACAGCTGACCATGACTGACCACACCGCCGTCCTGCAAACATTGTTGCCGCTCTCCGGTGACACGCCCATTCCCATCTCGGCAGACCTGAACCATCCGCGCTGGCGGTCAGCGCCACTCACAATGTGTCGACAGATCGACACAAATGAAAAAATAAATATTTTTGTTTTTCATGCAAGAAATACGGCTAAAACATTGTCAACTTTAGATGCGTTGAAAGGAGCGAGGCCCCGAATGACCCCCGTCAACCTTTGGATTCGCCAGGAGCGTGGCCCCGAATGACCCCCGTCGCCGTTTGGATTCGCCAGTGCTTCCACATTGTCACAGAGTGACGCAAGGATGGTGACCTCGAATGAGGTCAGCTTGTGTGTCGGAAACGGGTGATGTTAGGGACGAACCGGTGTTAAGGTTCCAGAGCGACTGACGAAATTAGGTGCCCGTTGCCGTATTCCAATGAACGGTTGCCGATTTGGGAAAAAGGTGTGGTTACTTAGCAACCAAGCGCCCATATTGAGTGTCTCTTTACAGTACCGTGGAACATTTTAGCGCACATTCTTAAAATGCCTTTCCGAAAAGATAAGAGTTGCTTAATTCACTGATGAGATAAATTGACCATTGTCTAGCTTGGCTGCAAGCTGCCGACGTAAAATGCAACATGACAAAACAGAATGTCCTTTGTCGATATTAAATGCCCCTGCCGTTGTTCAATGACCCTGGTCGAATATCAACAGATGCTAGTCTAAATCCGTGAAACGTGTCCAAATGCGTGCTCCAGTGTCGAGTTGTTGGAGTGCCTGTCGATATAAGGTGCCCGCTGCCGTAATTGAATGAACGGATGCCGATTCGGATTGAAAAAAGGTGTAGTAACCAACCACACACGAAACTGTTTTACAATCTCCGAAATACGGAAAGCGTCCAAAACTGGAGACACTGCTCAGCATTCAGGACAAGGTTGCATTTAAACAAAAAGTGCATTTGTATGCCTGATCAGCATAAAACGGCAACCTCGACAGTGGGAGAGAACAACACAACACTCAAGATTGTGTCACACAGACTCGCAGAGTGGAAAACTGTCTGGACTCGGTCTGCCTTATGGTTCGGCACAGACTGACATCTGGCGACGGCATTACCGCTCGGGCCTTCTCTAACCGACGGCTCTAGAGGCCGCTAGTAGGTAAGCGGATGGTCGGGACGAGCGGGTGGGGTTCAGTCTTCACGCATGCGAGCTCTGGGACAACCACACAGGGAGCTACAAAACCCTCGCGACATTCCATGCAGCGGCCACCGACACATACCGGGGTCTGGCTAGGGTTGGACGTAGCGGCAAATACAAATACACAGGGGAACCGACAGACATACACAAAAAGACAGACACACAGACGGACAGGGGGAGGCGGCGGGCCGGCCGGCCGGCGCGGGGCCCGCTCCGCCATCAGGCGGCCCTTACACTGACTTGACCGGCGAGGTTGATCGGAGGGCGGCCCTTCTTGTTGCCTCCGCCGGCCGCCGCGCCCGTGGCGCCCTTCCGCTTCCGTCGCTTGCTGGGCGGCCGCTGGCTCTCTGTGGGAGGGAGTGGTGGGGTTATACGGAGAGAACACAACTCAACAAGGACATAAAGAGCAACACAGCTGAGGGTAGCTGCTTGGGAAGTTGGTTTTGATTCTCATTTTTTAATGATACGGCTATTTTGTATAACAATTCATCGATTATGTCAATATTTTAAGTAGCTCATGCTATATTCTTAACAGTTAAATATCTTTGCAGTTTATCATCACAAAACAATACGCGATCGGATGGGTTTGCCAGTATTCCTCGGCGTCCTTTGGTCAGGCGCACACAGCACAGTGTCCCGTGTGCGTGAGGTGTGTACGTGCAGTGCAGTGAATCTGAACCACCATATCCCATGACCAATGCCACCGCACGCGTGCTCACTCCGAACTTGGGCGGGATCCAGGTGGTGTGGGGTTAGCAGCGAAATCATAGCACAAAAGAAAGATAACGAGCAAACAAAGAAAAAGCAAACCAAAGAACGAACCGAAGCCACCAGGCTGTGTCAGTTGCGGCTGGACCGGTGGGTTTATGGTGAGGGCTCGGTGAGTGGCAGGTCAGCGGGCTCAGGTCACTCGGGGTCACAGGCGGTTAGTGAGGGGTGCGTCCTACCGCCCCTCGACAGGCGGACCGGCGACCTACCTTCTGGTTTGCTAGGGTTGCGATTTGGCCCACCTATCGGGCGGAACACAAAACATCGAATCAACCAAACGAAACAGAACGGCAACGAAAACTGGCCATCTCAACACATACTAGGCGGCTGGCGGTCAGTCGGGAGCAGCAGACAGACATGGGGAAAGGGCAGGGTAGGACGAGGGCGAGGCCAGAGGCGACATCAAGCTGATGTGCAATCTTACAGGTCTGTTGCATGGCTCTACGGACCCCACCAAACTAGACTGACTTAGTTAACATTTGATAAATAAAATAGTACATTTTAATGACTCCTGTTGTGCATTCTCCCCAAGATCATCATCGTTGAAATTACTGCTTTGGGAGTTACGACAATGTTTACTTGCCTGGTGTTGTGCAATGCAATTCCGTTAATTAACTACTCGGGTATGATTAAGCTACGTTTGCCATTTTGTCATTTTACAATAACAAATGGACATCATAGTTACTGTCCCACTCTGAGTTTCTAGAGGTCAGCACACAGGACATGTATAAGCGAGTTAAAGCCTCGTAAGCACCGGTTAGCTCCACTGGACACGGGGCAGAGCTGCTGACCCAGCCGCCCCAGGCCAGCGATGGGGTGGGGAGGGAACCCTCTAGTCACTCACCAGGGGGTGCCACCATGCGCTGCCACTTCTGGAACAGGGTGGTCTTCAGACAGTCGCGCGGACTGAGCGAGTAGGCCTTGTGGCGCGTCATCAGCTCCTGCATCGGCTCCAGAATGACGCACAGCTGAGGAGTCGGGAGGGAGGGGTCAACCCGCTGGGTGTCTGGCTAACTGGCGGCTACTACTGACGGCAGGTCTGAGAACGGCCTCAGTTATCGTACTGGAGGCACCATTTAACAGATCGATAACCATTTCAGTTTTAGGAGACAATCATCGTATATGGCCATTCTAGATGCATACATTGGTGGCATGAGTTAGTTTACAACCAGGGGGATCACAATAATTCAATAAACCGAGACAGCTCGATTAGAGTTGCATAGGGCATAATGCGACATGTGAATAGGAGCCATTATTATATCGCAAGCTAATAACACGATAGACACATGGACAAGCACTCATGCTGTCAGCTGAGACACAACTCAAGCTAATGTTCTGAACTTGACGTGAAAGCGAACATCCTGTTTGCCTCGGAAAATCATTAGGCGCCATCCTCCATGTCTGCATAAATCATGCAGAAGCTCATCAAAGTCGTCGGTTGAAGAGCAGCGCCTCTATCCCTCGCCGTACCCTGACACGCATCACCACTGCCCTGGCGTGTCCAATGTCCATTACTTCGCCGCTCTATCAGGCATTGACCGCAGTAGCCTGCCCGCCTACCCCGCTCACCCTGAGGTAGTTGAGCGTGACGTTGGTGAGCCCCTGCCGGGTGATGTTCTTGCTCAGCTGCTCCACTAGGCCGGGATCCTGCTGAAGGTGTACCGACACCACTGCTCGCGGTATCAGCTCCTTGACGTTGCGCGTCGCAAAGTGCCACGATTTGATCCGCATCAGGTCGTCGAAGGTAAACTCGACGATGAAGCGGCCGTCTGCGCACACCTGAGGGGGCAGGGGAGCAAGATGTGTCATCAATATCCGTCAGGGGAGTGGAGTTATAGCACTCTCAATCAAACAATCTGCTTGAATCTAGTCTCACGGTTCACCACTGCTTGCAACACCCACCGGGCCAGTATAAACTCAAGACACAAACGAATGGCTATCTATACGCGAACGGACGAATGGACTAGCGGAGTTTTTTTTCAAACACATGCACACAGAAGCGGGAGGACGAAAGGACTATGACGTGCTTGGATCGATCGTGCGGAAAACGGCAGCTACTTGAGACCGCCCGAGCGCGGCGCCCGGGGATTTGGGAGCATTAGCGGCTAACACGGTAGCGGCGGTATGCCTTTTTACGGCGGCCGAGCGAAAAAACCGGTTAGTTGGCGGGCGGCCGTCGCCGGCCCGGGCGGCGCGGATAATAGGCTTGTGTGTTACTGTGTGTGATGATGAAGATGGCGCAGACAGTAGGGACACCACGACAAAACAACGCTATCTGAACATCCGAAACATATTTAGGTAGTGCATAGTTGGGAAATACCGATCCACGAAATACGTATCTTTCAGCATGCCTGTTGCCTAGCTGCATGAAGACAAAATATTGGAAATGATTTTTTTTTACGGAAAATATGGGGAACGTAGATATGTAGCATCCTGCCACCCGAGATACTTGCAGCAGTCTATATATTTTGTTACGAGTGAAATACAGGGAATGTTTCACAGCCATGGAACCGTTATGTTTCATGTCGGGTACATGACATCTACAGGCCACATCCCGTTCCTCTGCACACGCTCACGACATCACCTCCACCCCCGCTGCACCCAGCTCCCTCAGGCAGTCTGAGGCAGGGCAGGACGCACCAGTCCTCCCACTCCTCCGTTCCCTGTCCCACCCACGGGGCCAGTCCCCGGTCCTTCTCTTACCTTGGCGATCATGGGCTTGCCGTGGTGGGTGACCATGCACGCCTGGTCACAGTCGAGCGTGATGCTCGTGTTGTGGAACGACTCCTTGGGGTGGCGCAGGCTGAAGTAGAGCTCGGTCACACCGCCCTCGAATATACTCCGGAAGTAGCGCGGGATCAACGTGCGTCCGATGGCTGCCAGAGGGGGGGGGGGGGGGGGTAGACGTGCTACCCGTCAACCTGGCTCACTAGCTATTTGAGAAACTTTGGCGGCGAAATGACACATCAATGTAAGTGCACTGAATACATTCGAATGAACCAATGTCACTAACTACCGGTCATACTGCTTTATAAGTTTCTGTAACGTGTAAATTGCTTTTTAGAACTGGCGTGGTTATGACACATACGAATGGCATTCAATAGCGGAACCGATCACGAGTATGCATGAATAGGCCAGAACCTTGCCACTGCATGCAAACATATCGCCCCATGCGCGCCGGCGCCGACATGTCTTTGCTATTTGTAGATGACAGTCCGATGATTTATCCTCTGCACTGCGCATGAACAGGCAGGTCATGTGTCTGATTAGCATGAAAACCGGCTTCTTCAACCGTGACCCATCCAACAAACGCGACAGCCGAGATGACGAATAAATGACAGCCGATGGCACTTCACCATACGGTGGACATCCTCAGCACCAAGACGCTGACGCGGTTTGGCTTTGCTCTATTATCGTAATAAGTTATATACCATAGCTATGTGTCTTTTACTCCGTTCTTATATCGCATTATCTAGCGACTCGCCACCCGTCTGCGAGCCGGCGGTAGGTATTTACGCACTGTATCGTTTGGGCCCGTCCTCCAGGCAGAATGTCAGGGTCAGAGTGGCGTCGTCCTCGAAGAACTCGGTGGCGAACGCATCCCACCACAGACTGTCACTGTCCTGAAATGGGGGAGAAGGGGCCACGTCAAATTTGTGACTGCGACACAGAACGGCTCAACTAGGGAAGATATGTTATGGAGATAGCCAGTGTCATTGCTGTTTCTGAATGAACTGTTCCGGACGTCGCAGGTCCCGGACTCCCGTTCGAAGGACCGCGATGAGTCACAGCGCGATAAGCGACGGCATACTGTCCTAGAAGACTTAACAACCATAATGCAGGACATCAACTAACCTAAGTCGTTAGTGGTTAGTTGCATGTGACGATGAAAATGACAACAGGGCGTGTTTAAAAAAGCAAGTTTAAATATGAGCTATTTAGCTGAGCCATATCAAGCAAATTTAGAAGTTCAAAACTTGTGTCCCAATTGACAGGACTGGAATGACCGATTCTTATCTCTAAGGCTGTGTATAAGGACTGTGTTTGAGTATGCTGGCGAAGCGGCGGCTTCACTGCGAACCGTTAACATCTGAACCTGAGAGTTAGCGATTGACTGTATCTTACCGGGCCGCTTCGCTCACGACAGGGGTGTGATTAGTCACGTTCAAGGCCACTGATTGAAAACAGATGCGGCGAAAAGATACCATTGTTTGCAGGGGTACTACCCATTAATAATTAGAAACAACCTTCAGGAAGACGTAACCCCGACTAGCTAACAGTAGTTTGTAAGTTCCGGTGACCGTCTCGCTGATAACGGTCAGAGTCCCGTTGGTCCAATTGACACATGCCAGAGACACTCGTCAACGCGGAAGTCGGTCCCGGCAGCACATGTAACAACAAACAGATAAGTCGTTGAACGCTGAAACTCGGTCGGTAGTGAGCCCACAGCCGGGCGGAACACATTGGCAGACTTACCTCCGACTTTTGCTGCAGCCTCTTGTTGAGTTCGTGTATCCTGTAGTCGGGCTGGTTGAAGTAGGGAGTGTGACGCCTGAAACAGAAACATAAAGTGAATTTTATGCAAGATAGATAGGTACAATACATGCTCCAACCATACACTTGTCACTTATGCGTCAAAACGTAAACTTCCTTTGCACAGAGCTAGGAGCACAGGTCCGAGCGATTTATAGCTAATAGAATCTTGAAAACTTTGGATAGACCTTCTACTAAAAGGTGAATTGGTCATCCATTTTCAATTAAGTGTCGTGCACCAGCCCGCCCAGGAGCTCATTATCCCAGCCTAATGAACTACGGCCCACATTAGTCACGGTCTATCGCGATGATTATTGCCGAAATTGACTCAGTCCATCCATTTCATCCACAGATCACAACTGGGGAAATGTTCAAGGAAGCCCAAACATCACAGCACGTCAGCCACAGAAGCCAGAACTGACATTGACACTAAACGCCCGATCATCTAGTAAAAAGTCCCCATGAATTATCGTTCAATAATGAACATCTGATTGATGACTTGTCAGTCAACGATCAGGAGTCGATTAATCAGCAAAAGCAACATCATGATACATGATGTAAAACACATGTCAATCTGTCAAACGGCAAACGTGCTGGATTCGTTCGGAATCATCCGACAAAACTGGGTGGATTGATTCATTTTGGTGCTCGAACAAACAGTAGCGACAATTCTCTCTAAATCGACAGGGCAGAGCGAAGCCGAGTATATACCTCATCATGGGGTGCATGAAGGGCGGGTGCTGCATGGGGAACGGGGGGGCCCTGCGGCGGTCCGGGCGGCCCCACCGGCGGCCCGGGCGGCCCCGGCTCCTGCATCGCCAGGCGGCTGGACGGCCGGCTCGAGGGACGTCGCTCGCCCTTTGTCTTCACGGGCATAGCAGGCGGGCGGCGCGGACGCTCGCTCGCTCGCTGGGCCCGCCTCCCACGCGTCCGCGGCACAGCGCGGGCCGCTGGACCGGACGGACGGACACGGGTGGCGGCTGACTGACCGGCCAACGGCGCCGGCTCCCGGGGCGACTGTCAGCAGACAGCCGCGCTGCTGTCACTGCTGTCACTGTCACCGTCACTGTCACAGTCAACGCACCACACGCTCCTGTCACGAGTCAGACGCACCGCAGCTCGCTTGGCGACACTCGCTATTCGTCTAACGGCACTTGGCTCAAACTTTCACGACGCTCTGCTATTCGTTTGACGCTATTCTGTTGTTCGTTTGACGTTCCTCTGATGCTCGTTTGAGCTGTAGCTCCGTTCGGATGCACCCACTCAGTTCAACAGAGACCTGCGGCTAGACGGGTCGCGCCGCGCGCGGAGGACGGTATCACAGACTGGTTACAGTCACAGCGGCGCTCACGGCGCTACCAGTGGCCTCTTGCAGGCGACGACACAGTCCCGCCACCAGCCTGCGTCCGCACACGACCGAGCGTCTCTCGACATGGCTGGTTCCCCGGCGATAGGGCGACGCTCCGCTGATGATCGCGATTCACAGGTCACGTTCAGGTCACGATCCGGTAGGACACAGAGCCAGTTCCTCTTCGGACAGCGGCGGCCTCAGCGATAAATAGGGACACTGGGTAACATGCGTTTGTGGCCGGATTGTGGTGTGCGTGTAGTGAAATGAGCGAGATGATGCATTAGAGTATGTAATGAGTTCGAGTGTCGTCCTCAGTTCGTTTGCATAAACGTGAATGGCAGAGCGAAAGCTGGTTGAAACGGTGTCAATGCCAGCTGTATGCTGACCGGCAGAGTTCCATTACAAGAAAAGGATAACAAAGGAAATGACCACTCCACAATCCACATCCTTCTACAGTCGGGCTGTTATATGAAGGTCATATATAACCAGCCTGTAACAGCGGTGCATTTTACGACCCACCCAAGGGGACGTCCAGACTCGCCCCTACACTCTGATATTTCCGCGGCCCAACGAACTCCGTGTAGCCAGAGTTGAGTGCACATTAGAGACCCCGTGTATCCGTGTCATAAAGCCGGACCATTAGCCTTCATTGGGAGGTCGTAAAACGGCCGAGGGCCGCCGCAGGCTCACTGAACACATGAACCGGTTGGTGAATACGTAGGAGTGAATACGCGAGGGACGAGAGATGGTGAATAGAAAAGGGCTTGGTCGGGGACACACGAGGGACGCGGATGGGTGAATCAGCATGTGGACAAATGGAGTTTGGGGAAAGTGACCGGGCGAGAGAACACAAGGACCCCGACGAGAGTGACGTCCGCTGGTGAGTACGCGAGGAACGCGGGATCTGTGGTGCGGCAGACTGCGATTCCTGCTCCTCAGAAGCTCTACCCCCAGTGTGCACCGTGCGGGTTGCCCGGCTGCAGCCAGGAGTGGGGCACGGCAGCCGAGGCAGATGGGGCACGGCAGCGCCCCAGCCGTGTGCACGTGCACCACCCCGCCACGGTTGGCTGCAGAGTGCAGAGAGTGGAGCTATACTCCCCTCCCCGTCAGTACGGGGGAGGGTGACCGGCGCGCCTGCCAAGGTCAGATCGCTGGCACCACCTACTGCAGAGCTGATTGTGATCGCCGGCGCATCTCGCAGAAAATGGTGCGAGCTGATGACAAGGGTGGGTGTTGAATCCGGGATCGGTAATGCCTCCCACCTCCGCCAGTGCATCCGTCTTAGGTCCCGTGTCCGGGAGAAGACCCCATAATCCGCAACAAAGATGCTACGGTGGGTATAGACTAGACTCCGGTACCCAGCTCCAGCGGCGGGTCCCCCATCGGTAACACTTTCGGGTTCGGTCATACCTTGACCAGGAGGTTCCCGGGTGGGTCATACCCACACTAGTGGGTCCGGGTCAGCCCTCCTCCCTGCAGCAGCGGATCAAAGTAAGGGCCCCGGCCGGGCGGCTCGCCCCGCTCCGCCGCCGACGGGCCCAGCATTAAATCAATGAGATACAGAAGTAAGTCGGGCCGGCCGGCCTGCGCTGCTCGCTACCATCGATCCAGCGATTCAGCGCGATGATTTGCACCCTGCATGTGGCGGGGCTGTCCGAGGCCCGGGTATCCGGTCATTAGGGACAAAAACGCTGGATTAGGATCCCGACTAGGAAAAGAAGGAACGATAGCTTACTGGAAAAGGAATCGGAACTAAGCACAGAGCAGTTAACATATACTCACAACATATAACAGTCGTAAGCCGCAGAAACGTACTGCGTAACGTGCATTGTGCATTGTACCATCACGAAAGGTGTGATCCAACAGAACACCGGGTCAACCGAACCATGAAAACGCTGAAGGGGAACAGGATATAGAAAGGGCGAGCTAAGTAGCAAAGGTGCCAGAAGTTTGGCTCCCAATCACTTGGAACATTCATCGTTGGTCAGCCAAAACGCATTAATAAATTTGCGTGCAAATAGGCCAGTCGGATCATGGAATAAATGTTTCTTGAAATTACGAATACTCGATGTAGGCTTCCTTGTGTGAGGACTGAGGGGAAGTGTAAAATCACGAGTAAGGAGGACAATGCTGTAGGGCGGTGAGATACATGAGACGACATCTTGAGCCGATACGAGACGATATTAGCCGTTTCCACGACGGCCATCTGGTACACATTTGGTGCAAATTTGGTGCAGATTAGGCGCAGCTTTGGTCAAATTAGGTTCAGTGTATCTCTTAGTAGCTATCAGCTAGGGTTGCGCTAATTGCTTATATGCCTGCTTTGTCATATTATCGGAGAGCATCATCGATTTAAACACTGAAATAAATTCATAAAATGAAGATATTTGCTGTAAAAGAGATTAGGTGCAGATTTGGTCAAATTAGGTTCATTCGCTGGATAGCCCGTCGTGAAAACGGCTATTGTGAAAAGTGCCTGCAGTGCAGACGAAGTCAAGCAGCAGGCACGTTTCCCAAGACAGATTTGAAGGCCAGAGTAAGGCGTGGAGGCACGACCCGTTTCCAGAGCGGTGGCTTCTGTTTCCATTGTTTCCAAAAGACCTGCTCGGCAGAATCGAGACAGAGAATCCAGACATAGCCCGAAAAGAGCAAGACGTACCATTACCATTGGGACCAGTCAGAGGGAAAGGAGTAGCGGAATGTCGGCGAATAAGCTCTAAAGAGAATCTTAGAGCACCCTCCTACGGCACCCAAGAGTGCAAGCCATTCTCGTGTCAAAAGCAGCATGACGAGATGAGACCTCACATATTGAGGTACAAACCTGTTCAAACGCTTTCAGGTCAACCGGTACAGCTGTCATGTAACCATACACATTACGTGCTCCTGGCGTTACGAGTCGATGAAAAATTAATTTTGTGAACTTCAGAGCACGGGCTGTAAAAGCCCCTCATCCGATCTGAGTATTAATTATCTTCGACTGATTCATAGTGGCACTAAGAATTGGTTGGAGATGCTCGTTAACGACCGAGCGGCGAGCGGAGCACCGGCCGTATCGGCCGGTGCCGGTTCTCCGGCTGCGGTTCCCTGAGGGACCCTGGAAAAGGTTGTGGTTCTGAGGCACCGTGATATTATGAACCATGGTTCTCAAATACACCCTAAAGGCAACGCCTTCTGAGGCAAAGCCGAGCCGTGGTTCCCAGCGGTGATGAGGGAGTAGTGGTTCTCAGATGTACACAGAGGAGTGCCTGATGACTGAGACCGTGTGCCCTCAGTTATCCCCAGGGGATCCACCACTCCCTGGTGGTATAGCTAAGCCTCATCCTCATGCGCGACCCGACGGGCCTACAGGGACCCCGGCCGCGGGCGGCCTACATACTGCCTGTGGCTAGTCAGATGAACGGTTCAGATGATCGGTGAAAGCCGACAAATCGAATCGAGAGTAGCGCGACAGTCGAACAACGAAAGCCTAAAGAGATATCTTCGCGCGAGGACGATATCAATCAAAAGGTATATATTTGATGACAATCTTGAATCCAGCTTATGCTGTCTGACCAGCTCGGCAAGCGCGGAAACTTACGTACTCAACGTCTAACCAAATGTATGAAAGTAAGGGCGGAGCGAGCCGAAACAAATTGGCGTCCTTCATTGACAAACCTCATCGGTACAGCATCCCATGAGGGGCTCTTCGGAGAGGGCGGATCTTCAGTTCATACCAGTGAACCATGAAACAAATTATACATATTTCCTTCTGTTCAAAATTCTAAAAATTGCCAAAAGTTACCAAAAACACTTGAATATATTTCGGAGGCGTTCCTTCATCGGTTCAAGTGATAAACATTTATAGCGCCACATTTGCCGTTAACATATCTGATCCATGTTTTTTTTTTTTAAATATAAATCTCGCGTCTAGGTTGAGATGTGTCTTCTAATTTACATCGACAGAATTACCTTTACAGCGTACGAACAAAATTAGCTCCTACACTTAACAGGTTAATAGGTCATAATGTTGATACTATTCACACTTACAATGTTAATAGGTTACAATATAGGGGGAGAGAAAGCGGGCAGGGATGAGGGGGGGGGGAGAATTCTAGGCAGGTCACATCAGTACTATGCCTACCAAAAGTAAACACCGCTGCCTGACAGGATAAATAAGTATGCAAACGAATGAATGACTTGAATGAATGCACGAATGAATGAAGTATGAAAGAGAGGGGCATAAACATATTATAGGTGAGCAGTCGAATAAGAGAGAGAAAGAGAGAGAGAGAGAGAGAGAGAGAGAGAGAGAGAGAGAGAGAGAGAGAGAGAGAGAGAGAGAGAGAGAGAGAGAGAGAGAGAGAGAGAGAGAGAGAGAGAGAGAGAGAGAGAGAGAGAGAGAGAGAGAGAGAGAGAGAGAGAGAGAGAGAGAGAGAGAGAGAGAGAGAGAGAGAGAGAGAGAGAGAGAGAGAGAGAGAGAGAGAGAGAGAGAGAGAGAGAGAGAGAGAGAGAGAGAGAGAGAGAGAGAGAGAGAGAGAGAGAGAGAGAGAGAGAGAGAGAGAGAGAGAGAGAGAGAGAGAGAGAGAGAGAGAGAGAGAGAGAGAGAGAGAGAGAGAGAGAGAGAGAGAGAGAGAGAGAGAGAGAGAGAGAGAGAGAGAGAGAGAGAGAGAGAGAGAGAGAGAGAGAGAGAGAGAGAGAGAGAGAGAGAGAGAGAGAGAGAGAGAGAGAGAGAGAGAGAGAGAGAGAGAGAGAGAGAGAGAGAGAGAGAGAGAGAGAGAGAGAGAGAGAGAGAGAGAGAGAGAGAGAGAGAGAGAGAGAGAGAGAGAGAGAGAGAGAGAGAGAGAGAGAGAGAGAGAGAGAGAGAGAGAGAGAGAGAGAGAGAGAGAGAGAGAGAGAGAGAGAGAGAGAGAGAGAGAGAGAGAGAGAGAGAGAGAGAGAGAGAGAGAGAGAGAGAAATACACACAATAATAATCGCTTCACATAAGAAGTGTGTCTGTGTGTGTGTGTGGGGGGGGGGGGGTCGTTCAACAAATCGAAACACGTCTTATACCAGAGCCTGTGATCAATAACCGTGTGGTATTCTAGCTCCTACCGGGGACCCGTAATGGACACCACTACTTGACGGTTTACACGATCGTCCATGATGCCACGTTTGTGTTGAGTGCTGGTCGCTCGTCTCTAATATGAAGAGATTCAGCAATCTTTCTCTCGCGCTCAGTCTTGCACACTTGTATTATTGCAGCTGTCACGTGTGATGGGCTCGGTTGTATGCCACGGTGATCTTCCCGGAAATGGTCCCCGAGAGGTGAATCTCTGCGTTGGTTTTTCGCGTCTCGTAAATGTTCATTGTACCGGAGTCGCACCATTCTGCCGGTTTCCCCGATGTATGTCTTCTGACAGAGGGTACACGTCAGTTGGTAGATGACTCCGGATGTGTGACATCGTCCTCGAAGACCCGCCGCGCACGCATGACAGCGAGCTCCTCCCGGGTAACTTTTGGCAATTTTTAGAATTTTGAACAGAAGGTTATTCCATTAAATATACATATTTCCCTATAAAAATGAGCTAAAAGCAGTCCGATGTAAACAATGAAGAAACCGAAAAGGACAGGACAGTGACGATTGATCCTATAAAAAACTTGCAGCTGATCCGGGATGTGAATGCGTAATGCAAGCTCTCATCTCTGTGTGATGTGACACGAATACTGTGTAAGGTTTCCGGCGCTGGACGGACGGCCCCTCCCGGTCGGACAGAGACGGGGCTGCTGACCCCGCTACAGCCGGGAGACGCGGGTCACCCGGTCGGACGGCCTGCAGCCCCAGTACAAAGGAACCCGCCGCCGCCGGCCGGAAAGGAGGAAGGGAGGCTCCGTGTCCCACCGATCACCACCTCTCTCCTCTCACACACTGCACCCGCAGCGACACTGCAGCGCGCCCGCTGCCTCACTCGGCACCGCCCACCGGCCGCGCACGCACCGACACAAACACTGCAGCGACGCGGCGCGCGGCGTCGCGCTGTCGACGGGCCGGGCGCCGGCGGCCGCACTGGCGGCGAGGCCGCCGCCGCCGCCGCCCGGCACCCTCCGCCCGGGACGCCGCCGGCGCGCGCTAGCCTCCGCGCAGCCGCCGCCAGTGTCCGGCTGGATTATCAATACGGCGGCGGCGGCGGCGGCGGCCAGGTGCCGGCCCGCGCGTGCGGAGCGCCGGCCCGCCTGCGCACGCACGCCGCCAGGCGGCCGGTGCAGGGGAGTCGCCGCCGGGCAGCAGGGGCGGATCCAGTCCAGGGCTCACTGGGGAGCGGCGCCGGTCGGCGCGGACTGAATGTAGGCTGGGGAGAACCGTGAGACGTTCGGTACTAGGAGGTCGAAGGAAGATGGTTAACGTGCCGAATCTGATAACTGAAGAAGGAAGGGAAGAGATACGATTCTGAGTCTTGAGGGAGTCTTGAGAGTCGAGACTTGAGACATTCCGATCGTGTCTTGACGGTTATGAAGAGGAGTCGAAAATGTGGTTCACATCCATCAGTAACAAACTATAACCTCCAAAATTTACAATGGGAATCGCACGACTGTGTATAAACGGCACTGTAGTGAATGGATTTAATCTCGAAGTCACATTTCACGCAAGCAAATGGAAGTACACAGCAGGGTAACAACTAACAACATCCATTGCAGCCGCCTGTTTGTCAATGCAGCCAGGCGACCAACGACCAACGACCACAACAGCAAGGAAGACTAACTTTCTAAGGGTTAGCGAACTTTTGCAGACTGTGTTCCCACTGTTGACACGCCACACAAAAGTTTGTGGATGGTCTCCATCACTGCTTCTGTTGGAGTTGAAGCCTATCCGTAAACCTTGTGATCGTTATAATGAAAAACATCGAAGTGTCGTTATGAAGGATGGATAGTTATAAATTGTATAATGCATAATGTATGAATAAATTATATGATGTATGAATCCTTCCTATAAAGGCACAGAAACGATTGAGCCAGGAAGCTACGGCGGGGGAGCATGGTCCGAAGTCGAACATCCCCAAACGTAGCAAAATGTAGACAGCATAATATGAGCTGAACAGAATCGGTCAAATGCTTAGCTGAGGGAGAACCCGAGTCTCTGCAGACTGCAGAAAACTGAGGAAAATCAGAGGGAATTAAACGGCACTACAAAGGAAACCGTGCAACAGGCAACAACCCTGTGCAATGTGCATTGTGCAATGCCAACGTAACAGCATAGTGATAGCGGCGGTAGTAGTAAGCCGGGCCGAGCTCGGCGGCTCAATAACTCACCCGTGATCGAGGCGGTGGTCCGGACCAATCGGCATGGGTCCGAGCGGTCCTCCGGGGCCCATGGGCCCGCCCAGGTGCTGCGGTCCGAACGGCGGGCCCGGGTGCGGCGGGAACGGGCCCGAGAAGCCGCCCGGGGGCCCCTGCGGCGGCCCGTGGGGCCCCGGCGGTCCGTGCGGGCCCCCGCCGAACGGCGGCAGGGGCGAGAAGCCGCCCGGCCCGCCGCCGGGCCCGCCCGGTCCGGCCAGACCATTGAAGTGCGGGTGCAGACCGGGCGGCCCGGGTCCGGGTCCGGGCCCCGGTCCGGGCAGACCCGGCGGGCCGCCGTTCGGGCCTCCGGGCGGGTACGGCGCCGGGGACGGCGCGAACGGCGTGCCCGGGTGTCCGGGGCTGGCGAACGGCCCGGGCCCGGGTCCGGGGCCCTGTCCGGGCCCCGCCTGTCCGGGCCCGGGCCCAGCCGGCGGTGTGAAGCTGTGCTGGGAGTGCGGCGTGCCGGGGCCGGCCAGGCCGAACGGCGGCCCGGCCGGCGCGCCCGCGTCCGGCGCCAGCGGGCCCTTCCAGGCCGGCCCGGCCGCCGGCTCAGAGTCCAGCACGGGAAACGCCGTCAGCGCAGCCACGGCGGCGGACGCGCGGCGCGGCCCCTGTCGACAGCCAGCAGTGCCACGGTCGAGTCAGTACTCACGCCACAGGGGAAGGTCAAACAAACACGGGAGATGACTCAATCAGTTCACACAGCTCTCCATTCAGTTAGACTAAGCGGCTGCCACAGTATGCTTGGATAACGGAGCCCCTCTGCAGAACCATTTGAATACGAAAACACCTTTGAAACACATCATCGTGTGATTAACTACCCTGCCGGAGGATATGAGCAAACTGGGGTTATTGGATAATTATGCAAGTAAAACAAACGACTTTTATTCACACACTAATTGATCCTTCGTCGAGCTATTCACAAAAGTGAAAGGGTGTTTGAGATCAAAACACTCGGAATGAAAATGCAGGCATATCACTTACAAAAAGTTAGGCAAACACAGATCAAAGAGACCCGTGTGTAATAAAAAAGGTCTGTAAACCCCACAGTGTATATAAATATGTAAACCGAACTCAGAGCTAATCTATTCAAGCTGCTGAGTAAACAATGCTGCTCAACCTGGGCAACAAGACGACACTGTTAACCATTACAACTCACATACTACAGTAACAGTTAACGGGGAAAAACGGTCCGACCCCATCCGGTTTCCGGGTGGGTGGGTGCGATAGCGTATCTCTCTGGTATCCGGCGCCACCAGACTCGCCGGTCGGTGTTGTGCGCGGCACGGAACCCTGCGTGAACTCACCACTTTCCCGCCCACTCGCTGTGTGCCAGGTCGGGTGTGACGGTCAGTATCCAGACAGCAGCACACGCTTCCCAACAGCCGGCGGGGAGGACGGCAGCGAACAGCACGGTGACACTCGGGTACGGTTGGACACGGTCACGGCACACGCTCGTCTCCGCGCTGACGGGAGGAGGCGTCTCGGTCTCCCCGCTCCACCGAGTCCGGCCGGCCGGGGCGGCCGAGCGGCGGCGCCGGCGTGAGTCAGCTATTGACTGGACGTGCACCGGCCGCCGGCCGCCGACGGCTATTTCAGGCCGGCGCTCCTCTCCTCTCCCTGTGACGGACAAACAACGCGCGCTGGACCGACGCGCCGCGGATGGAGAGCGCAACCCTGCACATAGGGACACACACAGACACATACATATAATCAGCAGGCAGTGAGCACGGACTGAACCAGCAGACAGCAGCCGCGCGGTGCGACCGGCCGCGACCGTCCCTCCCCTCTACCCACGTCACTCACCTCCTCTGTCTGCAGCGGCACTCACGTGCCGGTCGGTCGCTCTGGCCCGCTGGCTGCGCCGCCGTCCGCGCGCTCACATGGGCGGCTGGCGCACGCCGTCCGGTCAGCTCGGGTCAGGGCACAGGTCAGGCGGCGGCCGCGGCGGCGGCTCCACTGCGCGCGCGCCCGCTCATCCCGCGCTCTGCCGCTCTCTCTGACGGCGCCGCCGCCGTCGCTCAGATGCGGCCGGCGCGCCACAATAGCGGCCGGACAAAATCGATAAGTGCGCATGGCGAGTGGCATCGGCGCTGCGGCTTCTCTCCTCGCTCTCTCCCTCTCCCTCTGCTCCCGGCATCGACGCCCCGCCCCTCGGGCCGGCGCGGCGTCAGCTGATCGGTCAACAAGCGAGCCGGCCGCGCGGCGCGGTACGACGGCCTGCCGGTACGACCGGCCGTACAGCCGCCGGAGCGCCGAGCGGGGATCGATGCCACGGGGAGCGGCCGGTGCCGAGCCGCCTCCGCAGTACGTGAACAGCGGACAGCCGTCCGCCGGGGGCTGCCAGTTGCGGCGGATACACCTGGGGGAAAGGCATCAGTAGCTGAGAACAGTACGATGAACCGAGCGACTCAGAGACACTTTCATACATGACTGTCAACTGACGTCTTCCGTGCAACAACTTCAGCCCTTAATCTCTCTTATTCTGTTTGTCTTTCTGCCCAACTTGATGGTAACTTTGTGACAAAATTGCCGCGAACTTAAAGTGAAATATTGCGTAATATTTTTCTCACTTCTGACATAAGACACTGTAAGTTAATTATTCTTCCTAGCAGTTTGAAGTGACAGGCAAGTCATATGCCAGTGACTGTTTCAGGTGCTGCTTTGGGACAAATGCACTTGTGTTGATAAAAAACGGTTTAAAGTGGATTATACGGATAGTGAAAAACATCAAAATCATTCGCCGTATTCACGGCTGTCTACTAGAACCAACGCCAATCCCAATCCCCAGTTGTCACCAGTTCATTGCCACAATATCCCCCCCACCTTATCCGCATACCTATATGCTGACTGACCCGTCATGACCTGGCAACGCGGGATGCCGGTGCTATCAAGAGCCGATTTCGTCCGTAAACGTGTATTGAGCAGCGGCGAGTGATAAATCCACGCACCATACAACAACGCCACCCTCGTGCTGACACTAACAACAACGACAAACAGTCGGCACCGTAATTAGGCGCAATTTGTGCCGCTCAATATATCACATTTACGATTATGAACACGCCTTACAAGCCTTTGTAATAAATAATAGCAGGTATTTCAACTGTCGCACAACCTACATTGACCCACCTGAACTGAATTTAAAACAGGCGGTACTATAAATGATATGAGCAATAACAAGCACAACCCAGTGAACATATCAAGGACAACAGATACACTCTTATCAGGTAAATGCATCTTGCTCAGACCACCCTTCACGAAAAAATAACCTGGTCTTGCTCAACTAACATGAAACGCATTTCTAACGGTAAAGCAGAGCTCGCAGCTGAACCAATCCACAGATATCATACCATGAATTTATCCATGCTCCACGCTAGAATACCTACTAGGAAAAACAGCAAACGCCGTTGTAATGGCAAGCCCCGAAGCAAAAGAGTGAAAGAGTTTTGAAACTAAAGCTATCAATTAGACCAAATACACCCGGAAGCATCGCAACTCTCTAACTAAACCAAACGGTAGCTAGTGTAAAGCAAATCCTTCACTCCCCAAAGGCCATCCGCCGTAATTCGATAGCTCTACATAGAGAGCACAGACATTCGCCAGTCATAACATTAAAGGCGCCAAGGCATTGCCTACCTCTTAGCAGGCATTGCCTACCTCTTAGCAACTTATATGAGGGCATTAGAGCGACCATCCCACGCGAATGTTAAGTGCCTGTGTTCGAAATTGCTAGTTATTTGCCATCACTGCAGACATAACATATAAAGAACCACACGAATTAGAAACAGCCTGGAGCTGTTATCATACCAAAAATAAATTCATGTGATTAATGCAGGATTATGAATAACATCTGAAACTTTCAGGTTTTGTTTCACGAAGATCCTGCAGACCACCGATCATCACCAACACCGTCTGACGCTGCCATCGTCCCGCGGCGACTCCAGGCACCACTAGTACACGAATCGCGGCTAGGTGGCGCCGGGACCGTACATGATCTCACGCTGGAACTGATCGCCCGTCAGCGTGCCGTCGATGGCCTCACAGTTGGGGTTAAACACAGAGTAGGCACTGGCCTCGCCCGGCCGTCGGCCTCGCGTGCTGGTGCTGTGAACAGAGATCAGCGTCAGGTGGTGATACAAGTTGACGGGCAAAAAGTAAATCGAAAAAGCGTAGAATTGAAGAATGTCATCCGCTGAAATACATAGGCTTATTATCAAATACGTTGAAAATTACATGCATTTATTTCAGTTGATCTATCAAAGGAGACAACATACAGTCGACATACGCCACACACCAGACAGTGTAGGTACCCATACCCAATGCTCGAGTGCGCACTGTGCGCTGCTTGCCTGCTATAAGTTTATCTATGGCAAAACCCGATCTTCACCTGAAGTAGATGATTGGAATGGCCGTCACGACGACGTACGCAGCGCCGAACTGGAAATGGCAGCAGATACCAAACAGGGTGAGGTAGAGGCCGATCTTGCAGGCCAGGATGACCCAGTCGAGCGCGCCGCCGGAGCTGCCGGTGACGTCACGGAGCTCCGCCGGCGGCGGAGGACCGTCAGCAGCCGCTGAGGGAGGCAGCAGGGGCTCGGTGGCCGCCGCCGACGGCTCCATCTCCGCCGGCGCGGGCGCCTGACGCCGGAACAGGCCGGTGGCAGTCTGGTACAGCCCCGCCAGCCGCTGGCGCCGCTGCTCCGCCTCCCAGCGCCTCTGCTTCTCAGCGCGATAGGCTGCAAGCTTGGCCTCCATGCCAAAGATGCCACTGGAGAATGGCACAACTATTGACTGCCTGAATAATGTGGATCACTAATCAGATAAATCACACATGCTCTACATTTAAAGCTGGTGTTCAGTTAATGATGACTTAACCATTAGATGCATCATATGTATCTGTTCACCACCAATTCATGAAAAATATACATATCTGGAATGCATAGGTGCTGTGTACACTGTACACATTGCATGTGTTAGTGTAAAGTGACAAAATAGTGCCAAATTTGTAAATGCTTCAAAATATGAGGTTTATAAAGAAGTCTTTTAAACATCAGTTATCTAATATTTCTCTAAAACCTCTTGAAATATATCAAGAATTTCTTGACATATTTCATTTTATATATTTTGTGATGATTTACAAATGAGTGAGTACTGACTAAAGGGACAGAGCCTTGCACCTAGATTAATGCTTAACTGGCAATGATAGATAGTTGTGTCTTACACACAGGGTATATTTGTCCTTTTGAGTTCTAACTTGGCACTCCCTCTTCCATCCCATCTCCACCTGCACAACAGGCAACAGCAAAGACTTGAGACCAACAGACATATTTTACCAGTCCCAAAGTTTGAAATTGCAGTCACCGACCTACCAGTCAGACACATCAGTATCAGTGATCTCCCTGATCTTTCTGACACGGTTTTGTTCATATCCTACTGTGAGTACTGCTGCCATAACCTTATCCTCAAAGAAGTCGAGGGCATGCAAACAGGACTTGGATAACTGCCAACTGGCAAACCGCAAAAGGTTAATTTATTGCCATGATACTAGAAGGTGCATACCTTAAACGACGCAAAAAGTGCAGTCACAAATGCTTGACGTAGATGCTGAAATGATAACCACGATTTTTAATATCGGAAATAATCGGAAATAAAATAAACTTTATATTTAAAGCTGCTATTCAACAATAATATCAGAATATTAAAGCTGAAAGATGTGAAGAATAGAACGAAGCTGGAAGTGACGTCAATAAATAAGCCTTGTCTTTGTTTACATTTCAATTCAAAATCGAGCGACACCCTCGCGAGTCGCGACTCTCGGTGGCGCTGTATGCTGTTTTATGCAAATATTTTCAGCAAAATCGTATTTTGATGATGGTAGTAAATTGGATTTAGGTGACCAGTGGTATTTTAAGGTAGGGGACTTGCATTTCTATGGCTTTCAAATATCAGAGTGTCTTCTACATTATTTTGCTTGTGAAATCAAAGTGCCTTAGCAGCAGCTGCATCATTCATTTGTGATAAGAGATGTATTTTGTTTTGAATCTATGAATGCATTGAATTTTGAAAAGGCATAATTATTTTATTTACTGCTGATTTACCTTAGTAAGCCTGTCCCACAGCTCAGTTCAAGTTGGTAGAGCCTTGGACTCCCAGTGGCCAGTAGTGAGAGCCTGGGTTTGAGTCGCTCGGGCGCTCAATATATAAGACTCTAGACAGAGATGGGCTGTGGTTCTGTTTGGTGGTAGCTGCTGCAGCCAGTTGAATTTAGTTGAGGAGGACAGGCTGTGTCTGGCTTTGAAGGGCAGGTTCAACTTTGGCGTTTAATTCTCCCATTACCCGAAATTGCTCAATAGGACAGAAGGGGGCTTCAGTCTATGCAACAAGCTCTGCTTAGCATAGGCTCTGGCTATTTCAAGCTGTGCATTCAAACATTCAAACCAAATTTATAAAAGATTGTTAACCCAAGGGCCAAGCTGGTCAAATTGCATTTTGAAGCATTAAAATTTTGACACCATTTTTAATCTTCATTTGGCTTTTGTCTGTCTCATCAAAATACATCAGTAAGGTAATTTAAGTTTGGTTGCATAATGTTAATGTAAAAACAACTATACCAGCTAGAACCCATTGCAATGGTCCTTTGATTTAAATAGGTAGGTACAATTGATTCAATTGTTCAATTGATTGAATTCAATTGAATTGATTCAATTGTACATTATCATTATGTAGCTGTGGTCAATTTAGCAACAATGTTTTATGTTGTTGACTCTAGATATCTTGATTGCATAACTCACTATGTCTTAGTTCTGATCATGATCAGCTTTTGCTTTTCCTAGTTCCTGTAGTATGTTGATTTTGATATTTGCAAGCATTAGCGTCGCCACGGGGGGGCAAGCGGGGCAGCTTGCCCCCCAACCTCGGACCGGGCACCCCCTGAGATCGATACAGATCCGATGAGATTTTGGAGTAGGGAAAAAAATGGGGGTACCTTTCTGAGAATGCCTGTGAGGTCAGACTCGGTTGGAGCGTGAAGTTCACACAAGAGTCGGAGTTGCAATCACCAAAATCTTTAACCCTATTCCTGGCGGGCTCCGCCGGGACAAGAAACTGGCGGGGGGGGGGGCTGATTCGGCCCCCCCCTGAGATCTCGAGAACGAAGCAAGATAGCGACAAGCGGTAAACGGCATCGGATACGCATGGACAAGGTCTACAATTTTTACTTAGGTCATTTTCAGGTCAGGTCAAAGATGACGTCACAGGGGTCGAAAAGTCAAAATGGCGGCGCTAGATATGGAGAGAGTTTTTCTCGAATAACTTTCGAATTAGTCAAGATAGGAACAAACTAAGGGCATCATCGTGATCCTCTCGTCAATCCGCATCGAATGATATATATGTTGACCTCGAAAGGTCAAGGTCAAAGGTTGACCTCAGGTCACGTGACCTCGAGGTCATCATGTATATCATTCGATGCGTCTTGACGAGCTGAACACAATGAGACCATCCACGCGTCTGTATCTTGTTCCTGTACGGAGTTATTGGCCAAAAACCTTTGGTGACCTTTGATGACGTCACATGACCTCACAGCTGCCCAACAGCAAAACAGACCTCAAGGTAGTGAAGGTTGATCGTATATGAAGTCATGTATGGTATATGGGGCCATTCCGACCCGTTTTAGTGGTAAAAACAGGGAGTTGATTTTCCCCCATTGACTTATAATGGGGAGGTCGCGAAACTGACCTGACCTTAGGTCACCGATATCAAAATTCCGAGATGTACAAATTGCACATACTGGTACCCTAACTAAAGCCTGAAGAGAAGAAATCGATCGGTCAAAAACTCTAGCTCTGGCGTGATTGCAAACTTTTCTGAGGTAGGGTCACCAAACCGCCTCTGGTGACCTGACCTGAGGTCAGATCAACTCAAAATTTTCAGACATGTTGTGTAGAAGCCTTATAGGAAAAGTCAGAAAATTTGAGCTTCCTAGCTCAACGCGTTTGGGAGAAATAACCAAAAAACCTCAGGGGGGGGGGGGCTCCTGAGGCCCCCCCCGCCAGGAATAGGGTTAAGACTCCGACTCCAGACCCGGAAATGTCAATGCTGTGATTCATTCCTTGTTCCTAGTTGGTTCTGTATTACATTGTCTACCTGATTTTCATAAGTTTTGGAGTGCTGACACATAATTTTCGTTCAAAGCGGGACAAGAAATCTTCGGGGCCTTTCTAAACTGACGTCAAATGTCTGGGACAGGCTCAAGTACCGTTCAAGTGCCGCATGGCTCATGAGCTTGCTTTTCACACAGGCTCCTAAGGAGCTCCACTGAGCTAGCTCTAAGAGGGTTTCAGAGGGCCCAAACCGGCCTCTGAGGGTCCCACTGGTGTCCATGTTCTCTGAGGGCCCATACGGGAATCTTTGAGGACATTATATATCCGTAGACCTCTGAAGGGCCACACGAATCTTTGAGGATGCCTTCGAAAATTTCTGAGAACCTTAACTGAAAAGTTCTGATAGTTCAGCAGCGAACTTTTGAGGCGACAGACTGCTAACCCCAAGCCGGCATTTGAGGGGTCACAACTCACGTGTCCCTCTGAGGGCCGCGAAACACGTGTCTTATGTCCCTACGTAGGGTCCTTAGGGATTCGACACAGACCCCGAGGGTTCACACTTCACACTGTTGAGGGCTCCAGGCTCAACCTGGGCCTAGTCTCCTAGCGCCCGCCGCCCACACTGGCTTCTGAGGGCCCCACCTTAGGCTCGGAAAGCCCTAAAGCACCACATACGCGTAAATATTTGGCGTAACCCACGCCGATCTCCGGGATCCTAAGCAGGCTTCTGAGAGTCTACGCTGAGCCTGAGTGGCCTGAAATGGCCTGAAAGTCCCAAGCCTATCTCTAAGGGATCCCTTGTCGCTATGCCGTGCGTAACTTTGGTTTCCGTTAAACATTTTTTGTTCGCGTTTGCAGCGCTTCCCTTCACACGAAAAAAACGAGAAACTTTTTGTTCACACTCGAGTGAACAAAACACTTCCTCTCACTGGAGCAAAGATGAATTACTTCCGATTCACACTCCCGACATTCACTCTCCGCCGAATGCCCAACTTAGCTACAATCGGCGGCTCGGATAAGCCTTATGCATTTCATGTAAAACCTCTGCATGCATGCGTGAATGGAGGTTTTAGCATGGTGATCCGATTAAATGGAGTGTTTTTTCATCTTTTTCTGAGTGATGATCATGGGCGACGAGCGTCTGCACAGGGGCCCTCTGCAGTGCGTCGGGTAATGTCAGCTGCACTGTAATTTTACCGGTCGTTTTGTTCAGAAATTTCAAAATTTCGAATTTTTCTGTAAAAAAATATATGTCATAGCTAGAAGGAAAACTTTGTCACCATCGGATTCCTCGCACCATTGCACGTCGAATGATATGTAAAACAAGTGAGTACCGACTGGGGAAAGGCAAGACTTAACACAAAACTTGGTTTTGCCCCCCCAACCGAAAATGTCTGGCGACGCCTATGTTTGCAAGTAGTGACTAGTGCAAGTAGTGACCTCTGTTATCTTTCATTTACCAGTCTGTAGATGGGTGATAGGGAGATGGCAGATGGCCTCCCAGACTGCTACCTTAGTCCTCGCCAACCAGCTGCTGCTGAGGACGAGGACACTGGGGCAGGCCTGGCATCGGAGCTCAGTTTTAGCGATGAACCGGAGCCAGCGCAGTCGCCGCCTGCGCGGTCGATGACAACAACAGTGCATCAGCAGCAGCAGCGGCTGGTGACTGCAGCGGTGCAACAGCAGCCGCGACAGGTGACTGCAGCGGTGCAACAGCAGCCGCGGCAGGAGACGCCCGGCCCCGAGGAGGAGCGCCGGCCTGCCGAGGGTCTGGTGTCGGGCGCCGCACCGGCCCCTGCGCCGGTACCGCCGCGTCCCCTGCGGCGGCTGGCGGGCATCTTCGGCCACCAGGCGGGCGACGGCGCCGTCAGCCCGCCGCCGAGACCGACGCTGCTCACCACCGCTGACTGGGGGACGACCAGCGAGCCGCGACCCGACTACGGCGACGGCGAGGCGGCGCCGACCTCCGCGCCGCCGCCGCTGCCGCCGCCAGTGATACGGCCGTCGGGCCGGCGGCGGTGGCGGCGGCCGGCGCCTGCCGGCTGGTGCTCGGACGACTCCAACCCTGCCGAGGCGGCGGCCCGTCGCCGCGAGCCGCCCGACGACGCGTCGGTGACGTCGCTGGAGTCTGAGGCGCTGGCGGCGGCCGAGTCGCGCGGCACCTCGCCCTCGGTGCTCTCCACCGGCAGTGTGGCCTCCAGCCGGCGGCTCGAGTGGGACGCCGCCGCCGACGTGGGCTACCAGGCGGTCGCCCCGCTGGCGCCGGCCGACAGTCTCAGCACGCTGGAGCGGATCGCCATCGGCAGCTACGCGGGTGTGCTGCGTGCTGAGCCGGAGGGCACGGGCCGGCCGGCGGCGCCGCGACGCCGCCACCGGCCGCTGCTGAGCCGAACCGGCCACCACCAGGAGCCGATCGCTGAAGAGGCTGAACGCAGACGCGGCTCACATGAGCGTTCACCGGCGCCGGCGCCGGCCTCCTCGTCAGGGGAGGCTGAGGAGGAGGAGGAGGCGGACGGGCCGGCGGAGCGGCCGGCCGGCCGGCGCTCCGTGCCGCGGGACGGCTCTGTCCGCTCCGCCCGCCGCTCTCAGAAGCGGTCGTCGCGAGGCGCGTCTCCGCGACCGTCGCCCGGGCGCCGCCAGAGACCCGTCTCCGCAGAGGTGCACCGGCACCGGCGCGGCCGGCTCTCCGCCAAGAAGTCCAGCAGTCTGTCGGAGCTGTCGGCCTCGCCGCACCAGGCGCGCCAGCCTGTGCGCCGCCGCGGCAGCCGAGACACGAGCAGAGCGCTGACCTTCTCCCCTCCCCCGTCCGCTCCCCGACCCCGCGGTGCACTGACCTCGGCCTCGTCCTCCCGCTGCTCCTCAGACGATGACCAGTCTGACGCCGAACAGCGGTACTCCAACGCGCTGTTCTTCACCAGCTCTGACACACTTGTCGCGGTACCCGGTCACGTTCCCCTGCCCGTGAGCCTGTCCAAACTCGACTCCTCACTATCCCAGTCCTCTCCTAACTCCTCGCTTCCCCTTTCAGGCGGTTCGCTGAAGCAGCGCTCCTCGGAGCAGACCTCCAAGCAGAGCATCCAGACGGTGATTTTCGTCGGCGGAGGTGCTGAGGAGGCGGAGACCTGCGCCGGCGCGCGGCCGCCCGACTCTGACCGCAGTGCGGCCGCCGGCGCCGCCACCGGCTCGGGCCGCTCGTCGCTGGACCAGCTGCCGACCCGCGACACGGGCCGGCCGGCCGGCACCGTCATGTCATACCTGGACACCTCGGAGGGCAGCTGCTACTCGTCCGTGTACGCCGCGGCCGGCACGCTCGGCGCCGGCGTCCTGCCCCTGTCGTCGACACTACGCGACTCAGTGCCCTCCACTGCCGAGCTGGAGCCATGGACGGGCGGTGGCTCCTGCAGCCTGGCCGGTGGCTCGGTCAGCCGAGAGGCTTACAGTAGCGCCGCCTCGGCCAGTCGGGAGCGGCTGGGTGGCGCCCCCTGCGGCGGCGCTGGCCTGCTCGTGGAGGAGCGCACTGAGACGGTAGCCGAGGAGGAGTCGGGCCGGCGCGTCACGGAGACGGTGCGCCGAGCGCTGGCCGACGCCCGAGGTGCTGACTCCTACCGGGACGTACTGGAGGCGAGCGGCGAGTCTGAGCAGGTACAGAGTCACGGGCCGCCGTCATGTGGTATGTCGGATGAATTCATTTCTCGCGTCGACTGTCGAGTCAGTCTTATGAATGTCATCAGTTTCCTCGCTGTTCCGGGTTGGATGTACCTACCCGAAACTAGTTGGCTGTAGTGGGGATTTCAGATAGACGTAGCAACATGGCCAGTAACTAGCTTCGTTGAACGATCGCAGTTGTGTAGTAGATATTGATTTGTAGTTAGAACAGGTGCTTAGTAAACTCAGCCGTCGGAGCCTGTTTTGACTCAGGCTCCTGCCACTCTCCTGGTGTTAAGCTGGCTCAGTGACTGATTTACCAACTGTCTGTGTGTCTGTGTGTCAGGCGGACGTGATGACGGCGCCGACGGAGGCGGCCGTCACCGCCGAGGACATGTCGGCAGAGGAGGCCGAGCAGCGGGTACGCGGCCTGTACCGGCGGCTGCGCGGCGCCGACCACTTCCGCTCGCTGCCCGCTCTGGATCGGCCGCCGCCGCAGCCCGAGGACGGACGCGTCGCAGCGTTTTGGCGCCGCCGCCGGCCCGTGGCTCACTTCCCCTCCGAGCTGAGCGTGGCGGCCATTCACGACCGGCTCAGGACCCGGCTGGCGGCCGTGGCGGACTGTCTGGAACGGCCGCTTCGAGCCGACCTGTACAAGTGAGGGTCGCACACCGGCGGACGGGGTTGTGGGGGTCAGATCTGGGATGCTAATTATTAACGATTTTAGGGTGGGGGTTGTTCGTGGTGGATGTTCACTGCTCACGAAGTCCATACTGGTGCGCTGGGCCCAATGGGGATGCTCTGGGGCGCTCCTACCGTGATCATGGTCGTGCCTTCAGAAGAATAGGTACATTACCTGACTATCAGGGCTTTTGCGAAAATGGCAGTCTCCCCTGAAAATAGGTATGTAAATTGTATGCATAAAAGCTCGCCTTCTGGTCCAGTACATATTTCGGTGTAGGCATTCGAAATTGCCATCTAGTGACATGCACTTTCCACCAGTTGTTAGATGAAGAAGTACCCTTGCATCATCTGAGCAGTACTGTCCCCGTGATAAGCTCGTGCCCGGTTCGTGGAATTCCTAAACAGCTGGTCCGTCGGTATGGACTCACTACCGGGAATTCAAACTGAGGGCTTAGCATTCCACTTTGCTTCAGTGGCACAGTCATCAGGGGTCAGGCACGTATGTGTCATTGTACTGCCCACTCAGACGAAAAAGGCCACGTCACTTATCCAAGGCGATAGTCCAAGACGATCCCAGGTCCCGACCGAGACGACAAAACACTGTCCCGTCTAGTCCTGAGATGTATTAGCTCTGTACCCTGTAAAAATACCGACATCTTTTTGCTTATGACCCCCATCTTAGTCTTATGAAGCTGATACATTGTCGGCTGTGTTTTGCAAGTAATATATCCTACTAGTTGCGTCGGTATGGCTGTATGCGTCAGCAGCATACGTTCCCTCTCCGTGGGCGATATCATGCGACCCGTCCGCCCTCTGGTGCTCAATCACCGTTAGTCCTGTGCCCCCGTCAGCCGAGCGGCGGTCCCGAGCCGAGACGGCGACCTCAGGGAGTCCCCCGTGGCAAACACAATCGTTTGTCACGACAATAGAGACGGCGGGTGGCGGTCGCTGGACGGCCACGCTCGGGTCCGTGCTCGCTCAGGGACATGCCACGTGCTGGGTCCGTGATACCGTACCGCCGGCCCTAGCTCTATCCCGCGGTGGCAGTGCCAGGTGCTACAAAGCGGAACTGTCTGTGCAGTGAACGCTGAAAAGTATGGATGCATGAACTTGATTGATAAGGTCTGGATGCAAATTAAGGTGATTTTTTTTTTAAATCAGGTGTTTCTATTACAGTAAGCCTTTATCACATTTGTATTTTTCCGTGTTTGCCGTCAGGTATGTGGAGTTTATCGGTACCAGCTGCCTGGACCCGGAGGATGAGACGGTGAAACGGGAGATGGCTGAGCGGGTGATGAGGCTGCTGCTGCGACGGGAGGAGGCGGCTACCGACGGACTAGGGAGACACCGAGAGGGCGGCAGTGGCACCCAGGGTGAGGCGGGTGTGTGTAGAGGGAGGGGAGGAGACACTGGGAGGCCGGCAGCGGACCCAGGGTTAGGCGGGTGTGTGTAGAGGGGGAGGGGCAGACACCGAGAGGCCAGTATCGGCACCCGGGGTGAGGCAATGGGCCGGCAGGGGCACTCGGTGAGGCGTGTGAGGAGACACTGGAGGGCAGCAGCGACACACAGAGTGACCGTGTGTGTGGGCACTAGGCAGACAGCGAGAGGCTGGCAGCGGAACCCAGAGTTAGGCGTGTGGGCAGACATCTAGTTGGACGATGCCGAGTGAATGCCGGCTGGTGATCGGGAAGTACGTTATAGATCATCAAATCATGCTCAAATCAAACCAACGAACCGCTAATGCTGACTCCTACTTGACTAGCAGCAGTGAAGTGCGTGCTCAGTGCTCACACTAGACTTACCTGTGGGCTGTGACCATTTAGCGATCGTGTTCAATTCGGATGGAGAACTCAACTAGATGCAAGGCGTGCAGTTGCACTGTGGTTTGTTTCAGTTTTCACAGAGTTGTATGTCATTTCGATAGATTTTATTCCTTCACAATCTGGGTTTAGCAAGAAGTGAAAAAGTCAGCTGCCTTTCTTGTCTGTCGTCAACACAACTTTTCCTGATCGCTTGCATTGATGTAAAAAGGCCTTTGAGCTCTGAGCAGCTTCTAATTCGAATCAGACTACAATGGCTTTCATCTCAAATGCATATGAAAAAATTCCTCCCGTGCGAGGTGGCATTGGGCGCTGCGGGGCTCGCAGCGCCGACATCAAACATTCATTTCATCAGCGTTTCACGCTGTTTGCCGTGCCTCTCGGCTGTGCGGGCCTTACCTGGGGCGATGCTGTTGTCGGAGGGAGCGCAGGGTTAGGGCGGGCCGCTGGTGTCAGTTGGAGCCGCCTGTCACAGACCACTTGCTGTTGTCAGAAAGAGCAGCAAACTGCGAATATTATGCTCACTGGTTCGCTGATCGGAGTCGCAGGTCGGTCCGCTACTGTAGGATGAAACTGCCAACAGTATACCTAGCCGTCCTGTCTGACAGGCACCTCTCCGTCGCCCTGTCTGTCCCAACACTTCCCTCTAACGGCGTTACACACCACTGACCTGGGCCTGATCCCGGTGCCCGGTACCGGCTCCCGCCGGCCGTACGCGCTCAGGAATCGATCACACAGAGAGATCGGGTCGCCACTGGCGGTCGGCCTGAGCGGTTCCGCCGCCAGTGATACGGCCAGTCGTGGCTGAAGTGTAGTCGGCTGTGTCTGGAGCTGACGGGAAGTGTAGTGGGGATTTTCATACCTTAGTCGCATTGGTATCATTATTTTATTGGGCCTGCTTTGAATGGCCGGAGCTGGTCACTATTACCTACTGTCTGTAAGTAATCTGTTTGTCCGTCTAGCGTTTCACCTGTTGATCTTAACCGCTGACCCCTGCTGCTGACCTATTCATTTATTCACATATCTATTTGGTGTATATTTAAATGCACATTTCATGGTCAGTATATCCAGGCCTCAGCATATTTCTGATTCACACAATATCTTTTGCTCCATAGACACCCACCTGACCACCAGTCACCCCTGTTTTCAGAGACATCCTGCGGTTCTCAGCCGAGTCGCCTGTCGCCTCTGACGGCTGAGAGCGGCGGAGACACGCACCGTGACCGGTGGCCGGAGGAGGGTGCGTTCGGCGTCCGGGAGCGGCTCTGTTCGCCGGGCAGACGGCGGCCGGCCGGCTCACCGCTGCCCCGGGACAGGTGAGCGACGCTTATCTTTTTCGCTGTGATATTTATGCGCCATCGTTTTGCAACATTTCTTGTTCGCTATTTGTTTTGTCGTTCCATTTTTGTGGTTGACATTGGACACCTGTGGCACAATGCATATGTGACTTATCACCATGAAAATCGCTCAAATAACCTGAATAAAACTATTGATGACAAAGAGAAAAGTAATATCGGTAGAACCATACTTCTTTGAATATGATAGCTTTTTTGCCCAGTTCCACGTCAAACGTCCTTTACCATTTATAGGCTTATGCTGACAGTGTGGCGTAGTTCTCGTACTCTTCCCCTGTCCGCTACTGTCCCCTGGGCGCTAGGTGTAGCTCCGTTTTCTGAACTGCACCTCTCTGACCCCTGACCCCCCTCCCCCCCAGACGCGGCTCCTCGGCGGCAGAGCAGGACGCGCGGGGACGGGAGGAGACGGAGAGAGCACCGGGAGCCTGGCGCTATCAGCTGACACGCACCGAGCGGCGACTCCAGGCCGGCGCAGGTGCGTTAATGAAGACAGAAACAGCCAGCACTGCAGTGGCTGCCGTAATCTGCTCTCTTCATTTCCGTGCATTACCTGCTGTGTATTAGCGTCCATGGGACCCACTCGCTTCTAGGACATGGCTTATATGTTGCTGTAACTCTGAAGACATAATACCGACCTGACATGTATCTAGAAGACCGCCAGTTTCCTGCTCTCACTCTGTCCGCGGCCTGTTTGTATCTGTGGGTGGGTGCTCGCCCTTGACCTGCCATGATGTCTCTCAAAGTACAAAATACCATCTGTAATGTGTCGCCTGTGTTTCCAGCGGCGGCTGAGGGCGAGGAGTCTGAAACCTCCGAGGTGGCGTGGCGCAGTCACAACTACAACCGCTCACTTCGTGACAGACATCGGGTACGCACCGCGTCGGGCGACCGGCCTGTCGCTTTAGATAACGCCTCTCGCCTGCCTAAAAACTTGTCTACTATCGCCAACGCAGAGAGCAGCTCCGGTGTGGCTGGCTTTTTCGCCGTTGTTTTGTCCTGCCACCCCGCTCGACTGCCCGTAGGTTACTGAGGTCTGACGGACTGACATTTCCGCGCAATTCTTGCAGTCCGCTTGGCCTAGTATGTGTACGAATCATGAAATATTGACAAACGAATTGTCCTGTCTATATCGATCTGATTGGTTTTTGGACGTGATGTTATCGTTTAGGATCCTCGATTTTCATCTAAGCTGATCGTGTTATGGGAACTGATCGCTTCCTATTTGTTTCTGTTCTGACCGTTTTTCTTAACCTGTCTGCCTGCTTCGGTGACCAAGAGCTAGCCGGCTGCCGTTCTCCTTCTAATCTGGGCTCACTGTCTGCCCTGTCCCGTCGCCCTGTCTCGCTGTCTTGCCTGCCCTGACTCTCGCTGTCTGACCTCCCTCACCTCCTACAGGAGCGTCCGACCGACACTACCAGCTCCGACTACGAGTTCAGCACGATCCGCTCCCGGCAGAGGCGCCTCGAAGACGCCACGGCCTCGTCGTTTGAGTATTATGACCCGGGCCCGCGCCGGCGACGGTACGTAGCTACGTGGGTGGAGCGGTGTGGTGTGGGCAGGGCACGGAGGGTCATGGATGGCTCATGGACGAATTAGGAGCGTTGTTTACAAGGGAGCTGGGAGAAGGGGTGCATGCATGCCGCATGGCAAAGCCGCCGACGCGCCCACCCAAGTGCCTGAGACTGATAAAGTGATCGGGGGATGGTGAGATACAATATTATTATTTTTTGTGGTTGGAATTTTTCCGGGAAGGTGAGGTCATGTTTTCATTAACAATCTCGGACATTGCCATTGTTGTAAACAAAGAAATTGACTCACTGAAAGAATCTGTACCAACATTACATATATATTCAATAACATTGCTAACTCTTATGAAATACAGGCCATAAATGCCTGTCATGCAAATCGAACTGAGTTCAGTCTCGGCATTCAACCGTTTTAAAATGAACGGCGTGGCGGCCGCAGTTGATTGATATCGATTCGAGGGGCATCAATTTCCGTCGCCCTAGCTGTGTGAAAAAGACGAATGTACTCGGCATAAAGCGAAACTATCCTAGTCGTAAACAGCCAGTGTCGCCGTTAGTCAGTGCCGAAATCAATGACGTCGTCAAGGTCAGCCGACTTGCAATGCATATGCTTAGGTCCCACTCGAATGGGGGCGAGGGTTAGGGTGTTTTGTTTACTGTTTACCGCACCGAACTACTGGCCACTGGAACCCTTACATTGGACTAGTAGTACAGAAGCGAACTCAAGAAATAAGTAAGGGCGGTTCGCCTTCTTTTCGCTTTCATTTATAGTGCGTGGTCGCCTTTCGGCAGGGAACAGCCGTCAGCCATCTGTGGGTGGTACTCTGCTGTCTGTTGGAATAGATGTCCGATTCTAGACATTGGCGCTACGGGAACATGAGCCCACCCCACCCACCTTTGGTCACCTGTCCTCCATAGAGTTGACTGCTCGTCGGATATTTGTTGCCACTTGTCAACCGGTGCGCCCCAATGAAAGTGAATTTCCTGCGTTTTGTAACCCACTCTCGATATACTTACGATCTCCATCTTGTGAAGCGATACTCCTTCATGGGAGGTTTTTGACACGCAGCTGCCTGCCGGCGATGAGCGATGTGCACCGGGCTGACAGTATCTCCTTCAGTGGCCTGAAATGGCGATGTTACTCACCAACCACCATAAAGCCATTGCCCTCAATGGCCTTACGATGGGACTCAAATGGGACTCGCGGCGCCAGCGAGTCGTTAATGAAACGCTGAAAAGTGTTACGTTATATATGGCGGAGCTTCATTTTGTGGATGTGTAATTTCCAAATAGTAGTGTAAAATTAATAATTTTACACTGCTTTTTCCGCTGCTACAAATATTAGATTAATGAAGAAATTGCTCGATAGAACAGTGCCATAGGACGTCATGCACGACTGGAAATTCGAACAGCACCTCACGCAACATGCGTGCTAGCCTGTCATCAAGGCAGCTGATATTTCAGCGGCCTGCCCGCCGACTGATGCTCCATCAGCTCGGCGAGTACAATCATATGATCGATCCCCATGTCTGTTGCTCTACTTCCTTTTGATGCGATGCCATCTAAAGGCTTTTCACTCGGTGGACGGGCGGTAGGTTCGCGCTTGCTCGAAAGTGTACGTTTCTTTGAATGTTCAGAAGTTCGCCGATGAACCTTCTGAAAAGGAACAGCTCGGAAGTTTTTCAATCAGTCGATAGTGTCCTCTGACCATTGTCAGCGACTATTGGACGACCTTTTGGTGGGCCGGCCGCGCGGGAAGGCTGCTCCTCCGGTGACGGCGGCTCTTTTCGGGGTCAGTCTCTCGAATGTTTGTGTTACTCTCCCCTTGGCTCTCGCGCACCAATAGATGATTGCCTCCACCGAGCGAATGACCTCGCTGCAGAGAGCGTGCAAACACTCACCGGCGCGAACCGATACCTGGGCGGCTCCGAGCGCCATTGGCAGCCTCTCAGTGTATTCAAGGAGCCTGGGAGCCCTCGGAGCCCCGCATAACCCTCAGAGACTATTAGTCTCTGCCGTAACCTTTGCCACGTGACCGGCTGGGGGACGCGCTCTTAGCCGAGAAGTCGCCACACTACCTCACCCATCGGCGCTAACCGCGTGAGGGATGACGGTCGACCTGCCGTCGGGTCTCTCTAACAGGGTCGGAGACCTGGCTGGCCGGGGGCTCCCTCTTTGACAGGTGCGCGGGGTCATTCAAAGCACAGGCGGCTTTCTGCTTTTTTTTTTTTGCAATGCACATACTGAACCTTAACGCTTCACCAAAGTGGTTAGTTGCATTCAAAGGACCACATATAGTACTCCAAGTTCATAGTGACATTCGGAAACGGAGACAGCTGAGGCTCGCTGAATGGCGAACCTCGTCAGTCGTCACCCGGCCAATCTTCGCGCTGTTTCTAACCGAGGTTATCTCTCTCGGCTCTAACTGAGGTCACCTGTGGTCTCTGACCGAGGTTATCGCCCCTGGCTGACTCAGTCACCGCCGACCCGCCGGCAAACTCTCGTTGATCACACATTCACCTGATTGACGAAGCTGACAGATCTGTCGCCGTCTTAAGTAAGAGCTTACCTGTGATTAGCTGACATATAATTTCATTCGGAAGCCGCGTTTGGTCTATGGTGATTGCGTGCCGAAATGAACAGCCATCGTGTTCTATTCTTAGCAGTGTTAAAGCCGCAGGCGGTTATCACTAGGGTGAGCTGACCCCACCGGATGTGTCTGCGTGTCTGCGACAGGTCGAGTCCGGACGAGGGTGCGTCGGCCCCGGAGGCGGCGGCGCGGCTGACGGCGCGCTCCGTGACCCCTCCCTCCCCGGCGCCGGGGTCGGTCCCGGGGCCGGACTGTGATGAGGCCGACCACTCTGACCTGCTGCACCTACTGCGGCATACCACAGACAACGTGATCAGGAGCTCGCGGGAGACGCGCACCCGGCGCACGCCCGTACCGCCCTCCACCAGCAGGTGAGCCACACTGACCTGACCTAGCCTAGCTTAGCCTTACCTAACCTAACCAGTCGGGCGACATCCGCCACTGGTTTGGTAATATGTCGAACAATGTTAAAAAGGCGTATAATTCTGTTGCCGGGGATCACGTCGGGGCTGCGCTTCCAACCAAACTAAATTTTGTTTCGATTGCTAGGTTCATTGAATATTTTTTTCTAGCTTCACAGAAGTAGCACTTCCATGTGGTCACTTATTTGCCTGTTCTCTAAATTCAAGAAATTAATTTTTACGGCTCCATCCATTTGTTTTCGCTACTTTATAATCGCATGCCTATATTACATTCCGTACCCTACGTCCAACGGTCTACGGTTCTTAGATATGCCGATCACCCATTCTGCGCACTCATACCAATATTTTTATCTGAATCCTCTCTTCGTTGAAACATGCGTCACGTTAAAACCCAACAGATTGAAAAGTCGGTGTAACTGGCTTTATTCTGCAGTGCTGGAATAACAGTGGTTTTACGCCCCAGTGAGCCCACAGCTCCATCCGACTGTAATGTGTTTGCTTTTTCATCCGTGCGTGGCTGGCAGTCGACTGAGTGACTGTTCTCCCGCAATAGACATACGCGCTCTCCGTGGCGCGGATTGGAGCGCCCGGATACCGTGCGTAGTATCGAAAAGGAGCGAAAAAGTCTCAATTCCGCCGACGTCTGTTTGGACCCAATAGCCCGCTTGAAATATTTACAACAATGCGATCGCCATGTTCCCCCGTCCCGTTTTGGCGCTCGATTGCCTTCGCGCGCGCAGGATTGTCGATTTTCAAACGAATGCGCCGTCGCATTTGTTCCTCGTGTGGTTTTCTTTTGCGGCAGCGTTGTTGAATTGCGCGTGGCTCGCTCCCGTGGCGCCGCTGTTGAATTGCGCCGTTCTGCCATTGATGACCCCCATCGATGCCGTGCGCCTTGGCTGCGTTCCCAGCGGACGGCGCTGCACATTGTGTGAGAATCAGACCAGCCCGCCGCGGAGTCCGTGGTGACAGCTTCTCATCAACTTTAGGATGCTCTACTAATCAGCAGTCCAAATTATCAGCACTCGACTGCTACTTGGGCAGCTCTAATGCGCTCATTACAAGTTTCCTTTCTTTATTGTTCTTTGCGTAGTTTAAAACTATTTCACCCGCCTTGGGGTTAATGGCGTCGTTTTTTCGTTCGAATATAAGACCAGTGGAAAATTGTGCCCCATCATGGTCTCTCTAATAGAAACGGTGGCAAAAATATTAAGATTAGTAATAAGAAGTGCCGATTTGTATTCGATAGATTCTGTGCCCGCCTTGGCTCTACGACGCACGTAGTGCATCGCGGTACGGGGGGCCGGGGGGGGGGAGCTTTTGGAGCTAACTCAACTCTAGTTAAATTATGTAGGATGTAAGTGGGGTCACTGACGTAACTTTTATGATGTGCTGAGGTTCGTTGTGTGTCGGCTGGCAGAATTCGGACCGCCGCGCTTGGGCGGGCGTGTGCTGTGACGGAGACTACTGTTGGCCGTGAGTCGTGTTCCGTGACTGAAGCTACGGGGCTGCCGTGGAGTGGCATTGTCGCCCTTCGCCAGTGATATGTGTTCGCCTCACTCTAATCCGTAACAGCATCCTGTCACACCCTCCATTCGTTGATTCTGTGGCTGTGACAGCGTTTTCTGTTTCCAGTGACGCGGCAGCGGCCGAGACCCGGCACCGTCCCCGCAGTCGAACCACCAGAGGTGAGTGGGGCGCCGCACCCCGGGGATGCTGAGCGTCTCCCCAGTGTCTGCCTGTCTGCCCCTGACACTGGGGAGGGACGGAGGGAGGGCAGACAGGAACCCCCGACCACAGTTGGAAGAGAGAAAGACTAGCGAGTAGCTTATGTCGGAATCACAATCCCCGGTATATGCGCGCCTTTACGCGCCGAAAACACAAGCACGCTGCGGTCGTGCGGTCGCAGCAAGCTGTTGTTTTTCGCAAGTCGCAGTGCTCTGTGGTTGCGCCTCCGTCAGTCTGTTGCATCAGCCGGCGCCTGTGGTACTCACTGGAAACCGAACAGCCCCCGGGCTCCGGTTTATTTCCCCGGTTATTGCTACTCCGTTGGGACTTGGTTTACATTCAGAGGCTGGCAATATATAGTTGTGCGACAGTAACTGGGTAATACGACCGATAGCATACGGCAACTAGCTTTGAAAAAAAGATTTTTTTTTTTTGCTGATCATAGTGCCCTTGTTTTCTTATTTCTTTTACAATTTCCCAAATTAAATGTATCTCGTGTGTATTATGTGTGGTGGTTTTTAAGCTCGCGTCCGTTTTGTTTGAATGGTTTTTGTTGTTCGAGTACTAAATGCTGGGTAGTTTTCCGTCTGCGATGAAGTCTTGCTCACGAGTCAGTTGATGTTGTTAGCTGAGGCTTTCATACTTGGATCCTGTGTCACCTATTCGATGTAGTAATTGACGCTTCATTCGGGTCTCCATTTGCCGTAGTGCTTTCAGTTCTGTGAACTCAGCTGTGGTCCACTTACCATTTGTCACGTTTACACATTAGTTCATTATGACGATTCATGGACGGTATAGAATCAGCTCGGCCTAGTGGCGAATCGGCCATGTTTCTCACAATGTGCAATCACCTCCGGCCATTGGTGTTCTATCGCGACTTTATAGCCCATTGCAGCCGCTCTAACGGTGCTCCATTTCTATCTGAGCGTCCCGTTCCCATCAGGGGCTCTCGGCCACGACCTAACTATTTAGCTGAGCCAGCTGATTTGTGAGCCAGTGGCCGGCGCGTGTCTAAAACCCCTGGAGACGCGGCTGTCGATGGATGGGGCTCCTCACACCGTGCGAGGGCGGTGCTGTCACCATGGTCTGTGCCCAGTCTGGTTTATCGTCGGAGCACTGCGGAAACTCCCGCCGGGCGAGCCTGTTGGTCGCTGACCCTCTTCTTACGGCCGGACGAGGGCCGATTGTGGTGAGAACGCCTGACAGACCCGCCCCGGCGGGAGAGAGAGAGAGGAACGGAGAGGCTCCCAGGGTGGTTCCGGTGCCCACAGGTTATGGTCGTCGGAACCTTTGTGATCCTGCTCGGCTTGGAGGGTGGCCGTGGTGGCCTCAATGACTGGAGACTCGTAGTGTGCATAGTGGCTGTAGTGGCAGTAGCGATTGTAGTTGCCGGAGTGGCTGCAGTAACTGCTGGGCCCATCCACCGTTTCCTGCTGCGTTGTCTGGTTAATTGTGCGTCTGAGCGGCCGGGGATCCAGCTCAACCACCCTCGGAAGAGACCGCCTGAGACTTTACAGGACATCTGTGCTGCCGGAAACAGGGAGCTTCAATGACACTCAGCTGCCGCGATATCCCTCGGCGCTTAGACAAGTGCCGAATAGTTCAGAGAATACGCGTGTCAAGATTAAAATAGGCGCATCGCTCCCTGTATAGTGCGACACGATCACTGTAATGGCTTACTGTACTACAGGGTGTCCCATAAGTTCGTTCTCACCTAAATTTTACGTTTATAGGCTCTCTTGCTTAAAGGCACGCTGAAATTGGTTCGTAACTGAGCTTACGTGGTTGCCATGGCTGGTAGCAATATGCTCCACAGTAACTAATTTCTGTAGACAAAATAGTTTTTGCTAGAGAGCCCGCTTCCTACAAAGACGGGTAACGCCGCAACATTAAGGTCTCCGATACGGGTACGTCTCGGTATTTAGCCAGCACGTGACCATTCTCGACGATTGAGGGTGATTGAGGCCTACCAGTCTGTAGCCAATGTCCATCGCTAACTGGACGCACAGTTAGCAAGTGACGCCGATGATTTATCGGGAGTCAATCACTGCAAGTTTATTCTCTTTCCAGTCAGCCCTCAGGAGTGAGCCATGTGGCCAAAACTGTGTGGCGCCAAAGTGGCCATCAAAAAGGTCAAAGGGCTAGAAAGTTGGTAAGCAGACTTTTCAGGATGGATTACCAGCTGTCTAAGAGTATTCTTTCGGGGTACATAACTCAACGGTACTTAAGCTTTGCTTACCGGAGGGCTCAAAACAGTCAAAAACGTCTTAAAATGGCCAAACATGAGTTTCGTTATGCCTGAGGCTAAAAAACTAGAGGGCTGAGGACGTCAATCAGGTCATCTGGACTAACTAGTCCACGTTCGAGATGAAACACCCGTCCAAACCCGAAAACAACCCCATAAGGGCGAAGGAGGAGGCCTCCGTTCCGTCCCGTTATGTTCATATGCAAAAGGCCAGGGTCACGGTATTGTGAGGTTATAGGCGTCCAGACGCTGACCAGGTTCCGATTGGTACTCCAGAAACAGTTTTGGGAAGCAGAATGCTTTCCCAAGAACATCTAGGAGTTTCAGCCTTCAAGCTGAGCTCGAACCGCGAGTATGAACACATTTATAGAGAAGAAAATGGCATCCGGAAGGTCGTAGGCCCAGCTTCAGGCAAGACAGTGCATCAGTGCACAGGTCAAGCAAAGCTTAAAGGCAGTGCAAGGTGACTGTGACAGGCGTTTGTGGCAAGATCACATGCCAGGCAACTCATCGGATCAAAATTTCATAAAAATTCGATGGTTATACTGAACTTGAGGCTCGTCGAAGCGAAGTGCTGTTCCAGCCTCGAGGAGCTCACGGCGCACGTCAATTCAGTCTGGGCTAACTTCAAGCCTGCTAAGCAGCCAAACCTGCCAGTTGGCATGCCGCAGCATGTATTCATGTGTTTGCCTATTAACTGGGGAGCACAATGAGGGGTCATAAATATATCAAAACGCAATGTACTCTGTTTCACATGCAAATATAATGTGAGAACGAACTTATGGGACACCCTGTATTTTAGTCAATCGTTTCAATCGCCCGTCCATGTTCTGATGATGCACGAGATCATGCCGTGGATGCTGTTTGGCTTGTGAGTTCATGGTTGGAACTTGCCTGGTTATTTTTTTGATCAGTGGTCACTTCTCAATCAGCGCGGTATGTTGTGAAGCTGAAGTGATGCGAAGTTCGTTACGTTTCCACTGTGAGCCGGTGTACAAACAGTTGTGTCGTCGCCTGGCTATGTCGGAGCAGCGCAGCTAAGCAATTATGCAATGCGTCCCCTGAGCAATTATGCTCAAGCCATTGGGAGACCTTACCGCTGTCTCTCCGGGTGGCCATAGTAATTAATGAGCTTATTGCGGGGCATCCCGGGTTAGCCTGAGATATTCTGACTTCGCACGTACGCACGCCCATGCGCATGCTCTCTTTCTCTCTCTCTCTCTCTCTCTCTCTCTCTCTCTCTCTCTCTCTCTCTCTCTCTCTCTCTCTCTCTCTCTCTCTCCGTGGTGTCACAGTGCGATCCTACAGTATTTCTGTAACGCCATGCCGATGGTATTTCACGTTTGTACTCTTCCGTCATCCAGCTGTCCATTTCTTCGTGTATGACATCGACAGCGCACGCTGATGCTCGTTGTCCACAGTAGCACCCCACTCTCCCGTCCCCTCTCGCCGGCTCTCACACTCACACTGACAGCGGCTCTCGCTCTGGTCTGTGGCGGCGGGGCTCGGACCGCCCCAGAGGTGTCACTCATGTGTCGCGGAGCCGCCGGAATCCGTGGACCTGGACATATACCCAGACCGACCCTGGCCCGGCGGCCACCGCGGACCGGCCTGGCCTCCCTCGGTCCACCGCGGCACTCAGACTGACGTGATATTACACGGAGTAATGTGATTATTGGATGGTGAATGTTGGGTGTGATTGGGAACGTTCAGCTGATATTGTGAAGTAGTCGACGCTTTGAAGGGTCGCCGATTAGCTCGTTATCCGGAAATTGGCTTTGCTGAGCACTACACTGGTAATGGCGTGCTGTCATTTCCCATTTAGCTGATAGCTTACAGTGTTTGCTTTTTCGACTGAAACGGCATTCATGCTGAGATAACACTGCAGTGCTTATAAAACCACGTTCATTTCTGGTTCATTATTTCTGCGTTCAGAAGTGAACACTTTTTACTGATAGTTTTTGGATCAATGTCTTAGTTACTGTATTTTCGCTCTGCACGAGCAGTTCGCGCCCCGTTTCTACGAGTTGCGGCACCAATTATCTCTTGGACCGGGCTGGTATCAAATATACGCGCCGCGTCATCTTCTTCACCAGAGTCCGAGAAGGAAAATATTCCTCTGAAATTAAATCCCGTTTTACTGTGGTCGTCCCGCGCCGGGCAGATATGCTCTGCTAAGCTGGCAATTTGAGGCTGAGGTCAGTCGTGCAAACATTTGGGTGGAATTTATTCGTGACCGGGGCGTCGTTACGGCGGATGTCGGCTCGGGGGGCGGCTCGCCGGAGAAGTTGTGTCGGCCGTTGGCGTGCGTTAGACGCCGTCCCGGGCATTATACCGGACATTAGAGGCGGCCGGCCTCTCCGGGCTGGTGCCACCGGGGCCGCCGGCGCCGCCCCGGGCTTCCGGCGGGCTGAGCGGCCGTCAGAGAGGGCTGCCGCGGCACTGAACTCAGGGGACTGTCAGAGGGGGCTGCTGTGGTACTGAACTCAGGGGACCGTCAGAGGGGGCTGCTGCAGCTCCGTGTCCGGGGGAAGTATCAGAGAGGGCTGCTGCAGCTCCGAGTCCCCGGGCGACCGGCGGAGAGAGCTACTGCAGCTCGGAGCTTAGGGGACTGTCAGGCAGCTGCAGCTTGTAGCTCAAGGGACTGTCAGGTAGCTTCAGCTTGTAGCTCAGGGGACTGCCAGGTAGTGACAGCTTGTAGCTCAGGTAGCTTTCTAACTAGCTTGTAGCTCAAGGGCTTAGCTCGGAGCTCACCGGAGTTTTTCTAGCTCGTAGCTCGGGGAAGTTGTCGATCTAGCTCATAGCTCGGACTTCGGGGAGCTGTCACATAGAGCTAAGTGGCTAGCATCGGACATCGATGCGTCGCTGCTTTGTCCGTTCAGTGTGAGCTGCAGCGGTGTGCTGCGGCTTTCTGCTGTGAGCTAACTGTGGGCTGAAGACTGTCGGCTGCGGTCTCCACAATTGTGGCCGTCGCCGAGCTCATTTCACGGGGCTCTAGTCTGAGAGCCGGCCAGTTTTCGCCACTCGCCGCTCTCTCATATAATTTTATCCTGTCCCTCGCTGTCTGTCCCGTCCACCCGTCCGTCCATCCTTCTGCTCGTTTCTCCACCCATGTATCGGCCCCGGTTCCCCCTGAACCTGCTTCTCCCTATGCCCACTCCCACGCTCTCCAGTATCGCTCTCGCATCCGCTCTTTCCAGTCTCAGTGAACGCCGAGCCTCCCGCTCTGTCCCAGTGGACCCACCCCTCCCCACTTCACAGACCTCCCCGCCCCCTCTCCTCACGTCCTTCATATATCGGGTAGGGCCCTTCATACCACTAGTGTTATGTCTGATAATAAAGCGCGTATTGAGTTATGACGGGACTGACAGCCCGAGCTGCGCTAACGTCACAGGGGAGGAGGGAGAGAGGGCTAGCACCGCTGGGATTAAGAGCTTGCAAAGCCTTTTCTTTTTGAACCAGTAAACACGCTCGCTGTTACCTCCTAAATTGGAGTTATGGAGCTCTGAAATGACAATTGTTGCCACGTAAGTGCATCATCGGGGAATGGAAGAGAGGCGAGAGTATTTTAGGATATTACGGTGCAGGTTTCGCCGCTTGGTTTCTTTTTTAGTGCTCTTGGCGAGGGTCAGTTCCCGTAAACGGGTTTACTGGTCTGCTGCTAAGGAATTACGATTCTTGTTTACAGTGCGGGAGAACACTTGAATAGTTGTCTAAGATCGGGAAAAGATGTTTATTAGAACGACGCCGCTTCAAGCAGATTTCGCCAGCAATTGGGGCTTCGTTTCTTTGTTTGTTTGTTGGGAGTTAGGGGCGCGCCGACTACGAGGTCATTTTGCGCCCATTGGGCTTCGTTTCTCATCCGTCATATAACGTTAGTCTGATTATTTACTTAGACCTTTGATTTCGCATAAATGGTCAGTGGAGTTATTTATTTCCAGCAACGCTTGAAGTCTGTATAATTTGCATATTTCGTATCGAATTTGGACCGCCCTACAGTTTACCCTGGGACAGCTGGCGTCGACTGTTGACATTGTGTGGCTCGTTCGAATTGAGTGGTTCGCCTCGATCGCGTGCAGGATTTGATCACGAAATGCGATGCGAAGTTCAATGGGAGCAGCAGGTTTGACTCTTCGAAGTTCTTGTTTTTCCTTTTTTTGTTCATTACCGTGATTCTGCACAGCATTTCACGCAGCTATTTCATTCTCACATAGCTATATGTATTATAGCCCCCTCAGTAGCGGCCGGGATAGTCGCGGCGATCAACTAGTCGGGCATACACTACCGGCATTGAACAAGATCTGACCTGGCTTTCCTCTCAGGAAATGCTCAATGTCGGCTTCCGGATTAATTCCGCCTACCAAACACATGCAACTGAAGTGCCAACGTAAATAAAAGTGGCCTACTTTTCAGAAGCGCAATAAGTGCGCTGCTGCCTTAGTTGAAAGTTTGGGCACTGCAGCGGTACCTTCTTATTTATGCGCTGTCGTCATATTTCAGTTACGCTTGACACCAGGGAATGGTACAGCATCGAAATGGCCGAGATTTCATCCTCCGTTGCTCGTCGTACCGTGATGTTCCGGACTCGTGTTCGGCGTTACAAGGAACTAGATAAAGTGCCGGTCATATACCAACATGTCTTTGTCCTGTACCTGCCAGTATTTGGTCTGGAACATCTTGTCAGTGGCCGTACTCTGTTCTGAGGTCTGGGTTTTTGCTTGGTCCTTGCCGAGTTCTAATGCCACCTCGGTATGTGGCTTATGCAACTATACGTACAGCGTGCGCTGTCTTTCTTACGGCAGACACAGCTTATCGTTATTCAGAGCCCGGCCTTGGATAAGCCCAAGGTCATATACCATGTCGGGGCCGCCTCAGCCGCAAAACACCCATCTTCAGACACTTCAGTTCAGTCGATTGGATTCCACATCGCATCACGTTTTTGCATGTCCATTAAGCTGGGCGCCGGTCTATCTGCGTCGGGTGCTGTTTTTGGCCACCGGCCTCCGTCGAAAATCGCTGACGCGTGGGGGTCGTTCTTCACTCGCGGCCATCGACTGCAGTGTTTGGCGCTTAGCCAGAGGTTCGGAAACTGAGATTTGTGCTCTACTCTACTAGCAGACTTTTTTCTGCCGCACGCCCTTCGTATGCGATGCGAAGGGGGACAGATTTTACCTTATAAGAGCGCAAACGATGGTTAGGTGTTGACATGACATGACGTCCTAATCTGTGCTAGTGTTGATAGTCAGTGATGCGTCCACTAGTGAGAAACTTGCAACTTTTGGCTGGGCCTCACCAGAGGTTCGCATTTTAACGGAGTATCGTGCCTGACGGTCATCAGTGTCGACTGTCGATCGATCTTCGCGTCTCTCCGACTATTGGACTGAGACTCAGTCAGATGAAGACGTCCAGCTGTTCAACGACACAGCGGTAGGACCTAGGGGCTGCCCAGAGGATAACTGCTACATCAGGCAGTTGGTCAGGGGGCAGTTATTACATCACATAGCTGTTCTTTGGGACAGCTGTCACACTAGGCAGCTACCCCGGCGGACAGCTGTCGGGCTTTGTAGCTGCAGGTCTGGACAGGATAGATGGTACGGTGCTAAGATTAAATAGTAATCTCTAGTATTCCCTTGACCTCTGAGACGCTCAGGTTTATTTATCCTGTAATAGTTCCGGTTTCGATGTTCTCCACTTGTACGTTCAAAGATATGATGACGTCCACACGCCGATGACCACTGTAGTCCGGGCGCCCAAAAACCCCGATGACGTCCGCAGCTGCAAACACCTCGAGCAGAAATTTGTTACCAGTTCTGAAGTTGGTCAAAGTAGGAAGTACATACCTACCGAGTCGTCACTACTGCATAGGAGCTGCAGTAGTGCAACGACTAGGTTCAGTTCGTGAAGCTTCACAATGTGGGCGTTATTTCAGCTGTAGACGCTTTTCCGTTTCAGTTCGTTTCCTAGTCTAAGTTGGATCAGGTCGTTTTGATTTCGTTTTTGATCTGTGCCTCCAGTAGTGAGACCGAAGCTGCACTGTGTTATTATTACCGCTGCCGATCATCTGACACTGAGCCGAACCGTTCAGTGACCCTGGAACTTCTGAAGCGACTCACGATAATAAGACGTAAAGACACCCGTCTGGGCGACGATTTGTCTTTTTCTTGAACGGCGCTCTCCTCGTTTTCTTTTAGCGTCACTCTGCAGTTCGCACTTTGGTGCGCGCTTTGAAACACCAGAACATTATGTTATTTACAAAGTAGTAGACGGGTCTTTTTATCACGTTTTTGTACATCTTACAAGTAGATCATTATACATATGTACATATGCTGTCTGCCGCGAGACTGTCTGCGAGCGCTGTGTGCAACGCTGTTATATGATGTCCTTTGGTGTGGTTATCAGCTTGAGGTATGGCCATGCGACTAAAAGTGCAATGCGATTGAATTAGTACTTCAATTACAACTTCAATAGCGCTTTTCAGTACTATTTAAAACATCTGACGATCATTTATTCCTTTCAACGATTCAATTACTACTTCAATAACGCCTTCCATTACGATTTTAAACATCTGACGATCATCCCTTCTTTCATGTGACTATGACGGGTCCATAGCAATCTGCCTGCCCCCCTTCCCCGAAATTTTTACTGCGGCGTATCCAACCTCCATGATGACTTTCTGTTAGATCTGTGGGCGAAAATTATGCGACTCTTGAGACTTGAGACTTGTCCGACTCTCAGAGTCTCGCTGTGATCCGTCTGACCCTCTGTAACGTGTCCTTTCCCAGGAGGCCAGAGACACTGCCGGTCGACCAGCGGAGAGGCCAGTCGCCGTCTGGGGTCCCTGGTCGGAGAGCATCGTCAGAAGCATGTCCAACAGCTGCAGCATGAGATCACCAAGCTGGGCCGCCTCGAGAGGTCAGTGCTGCGCTGGCTGCGCGGGCTGGTGGGTTACGTGGGTGGCTGGTAGGGTAGGGTGGGGTAATTTGAACATGTGGGGCAATTTGAACATAGTGTGAATAACACAAAATTACGGAAAATCCATAAGTGGCATGAAATAAGACCAATGAGAGAAATTATCGTAACTAAAAGGGCTATCATATGAACGGGGTTTAGAGTTTCAGGGACAGGGAATGAAGATGTTGACGCACAGTGTAAAAAATCAATTTCGCAAGGATAAACGCCTAACAACACGTCATTCCAACTTCATTGCAGCGCAGAATCTTGCATTGCTAGCGCCTAATACGCAACGGCTTTTGTTGTACAATGACCTAATCAGTGCCTTCAATCCAAGAAATTCGCTTTTGAACCGTGTTTTTAAAAATGGCAAAATAACTTTTAGCGTGGGGTAATTTGAACATAGTGTGAGAATTTCAATGAAGACAGGGATAGCTCCGAAAAAAAACAACGCTCCCAGCTTTTTTTTTGCCAATATTTTTGACCCAAAGCAGTAGCAGATAAGTGATGCCAGTTTTAGAAAATTTACTTCTAATATCCGTCTAATGTCCGGCATTTTCGTTGATTTTCCGTCCAAAAATGTTAAAGTCAACTATTTGTCCAAATATATCCGAAAATTATGCAGCTATCAACACTCAAAACCGTCATTTATATTGCTTATCATGTAATTTTACCAGCCGAAAAGTGTTCATGATATTGAGAGCTTAACAGCTTTCCATTCGCCAATCAATGCTACGCACGATTACTTGATAAAAATGCTTAAGTGTGGCAGGCCATCGTCCAATGTTGTCCAGACTACTATACCTTTGTGCAATCAATTTCGAATTTGACATTATAAAGAATCGGAACTCCGAATGTCCAGGTTCCGATTGGCACCACTATAACAGATGAAGTAAGCGGTTTGGTAAAGTTTTTATCGAACGGAGATGATAGACGTTCTGTTAATTGAAGAGAGGCGAATTCTGTCAACTGACCGGTGTGCAGCGTGTAGATATTGATACTCTGCAACTGTTATTTTTGTTGTTGTGTTGATTTTTCAAGTGAAGGTATGTTTAGAATTGCTCTGCCTATTCGTTTATGGGTCAAACAACATCGGTGCTGGCGAGACTATCGTTTTTATGGCAGGTAAAGGCAGTATGTTCAAATTACCCCACGGTGGGGCAATTTGAACACACCGTGACTTGGTGGAGAAGTGATGTTATGCTATTCAAGGTATGCTCGGCTCGTCCAAAAATGAGGCTTGCATGGTGAAAGCAAGTGACACATGCGCTACTGAAACAGTTTTTCTTCATCCAGGGTTGAGCTGGAATTTGGTACAACGGAGAAGACGTAAAAATATGTTCAAATTACCCCACACTACCCTATAGAATATTCTCATCATACTTTAGCTGCATTGGTTTGTTGATGTGTTGTCGTTAATCGGCCGTCATTACCAGAGCTGTGGCGTCGCATCATGGTAAGGCTTCTATAGTAGGCCTTCCACGAACGCCCATCGATTAGCGTTTCTCTTGGAAGGACCTCGCCATGTGTAATACTATTTGTGGACAGCCGGGAATTTGCCTAGCGTGCCGGTGCGGTCGGCGCGGGTGAGTGTTGACGCCGGGGACTGTGCGGCGGTGACGGTTCGTTTCTCCGTCCCAGGATGCTGCTTGGGGGCACCACTGTGGAGCTGGACGACTGTAGCTGGAGCGAGGACGGCTCCGCGGCGGGCGCGAGGGCCGGCCGGCGCCGCGGAGTCGAGGGCCGCAGCTCCCCATCAGACGACTCGGACGATCCGCCAGAGCCCAGCTCGGCCTACGCCCGGATCCGGGAGACTCTGCAGCGGCGCCGCCGCCAGATCGAGGCGCAGCTGAATGACATGGACCGCCGCCACCAGCAGTACAGCCGCCGGCTGGAGCGGTTCTCTGACCTGCCCGAGGAGGCGGGCGCGGCGACGGCCACTGACTCCGAGAGCGGCCCGGTCAGCCGGCGCGCAGACACCCGCTCCAGCGGCCAGCGGCGAGTGGCCAGTACAGTGACGGAGAGCCGGCGGCGCGCCGTTAGCAGCCAGGAAACCACCACTCAGACCACCACCCAGACCAGCAGTCGAACCAGCAGCCGGCGGCGCAGCGATCGCGCCAGTCAATGCGAGCTGAGCCCGACCGGCGGCACCGTCCAGGTGGTCACCCGGCGCAGCCGTGTGCTGGGCTCGGACGTCAGCACGCAGACGACCTCCGGCGGGCCGACGGACGCCGTACAGGTGTTCACCCGGCGCACCCGGGTCTCGGCTCCGTCCGACTCGGCCACTCAGACCACCTCGACTGCGCCGCGGCGCACGGTGACGGTCACACGCCGACAGGTGCCCGGGTCGCCGCGCCGCGCCCACCGTGCCGTCCAGACCAGCCGCTCGCCCGAGAGGACGGTGACGGTGACACGGCGGCGAGCCGTGCCGGAGCAGGAGCGGCGTCCGCGGAGCGCCGCCGTCCAGACGGTCACCCGCCGGAGGAAGGTACCGTCCCGGCGGCCGGAGTCTGCCGCGCCCGAGCCCTCCTCCAGCCGGCGGGAGGTGGTGGTGCGGCGGAGACCCGTGGCCGACGGCGGCTCGGCAGACACGGAGACCATCTCTACTGCGGCCGACACCACGGCCGATACCACGCCGACCACGGCGCGCTCGTCAGCCACCTACGGCGAGGGTATGCGGGACGCTCTGGAGCCGTCCGAGCGAGCCGGCGACCTGGAGCGCGCCGAGCGGCTGCTGGGGACGCCCGACGACGCCAGCGCCGAGCAAGGTGAGGACGTGCTATTGTCCACCTCTACAGATCAAGGTAAGCTAATGACGTCCGTCCCTCACAGCCCTTCGCCGCTAATCGAGGCAAGGATGTCCCTTTTTAGTCCGTACTCCGCCGCCAAGGTAAAAACATACGTTTCCATATCATCCTGCCGACGACTTACGGTAATAATGTCCCTGATACCCGCCTTTGTCGACCTAAGGCCGCACTGCGCGATGTCCCAATTGCTGCCAAGTCGTCATTGAACACTGAATAGGCAGCTGGGATTGTTCCACGAAAAGCAACTAGCGCGAGATGTGCAAGGGAGGTGCATTGCATACTCCATTCCGGCTTTCAAAGATATGTTTACCTATTTTTAGATAGCTGGAATGTCTTGATATCATTTAGCCGGAATAATGTGGGGTATTACGTCACATTTTACGTTCTTTTGAACCGGCGAGCCGAACCTCAATGATGTCCTTATGAACCTTTAGACATCGGTCAATGCGTTCCTTCGTTTAATCTTTCTTGCATGAAAAAGTGCTGAAAGAATAAAGAAATATAACACTGACACATTTCAAGAAAACCGTTGAACCAATCCTTCTTTCCTCTATGTGTTCCGGAATTTGTCATTTACTGCTGATGAGTTGGGCAGATGACTTCATTGATAACCGTTCGGCGTTCAGGTATTATAGTAGGCTCCATCTTGCCCTCGCAGTTCATTGGATGCCATTGGTGATGGCGAGGGATTTCTCGAAACTTGACTGTAATTGGCTTTTCGAGCGTCGCACCGACTAATACGTGTCATGCCGATGGATCTCGGGACGCTTGAATGAACAAGCACGATTCAGTCTGATGTTGGCACGAAGTTTTATGTTATAGTACTTCACAAATCTCCCCGGTGTGAGCGGTGTGTGCTTTGTCGATAGCGACTCGCTGAAACATAGTGGTAAACATATTGGACGCCTGGTTTAGCAGATTTAGGAAGTCTGGTATGTATCCTGTGGGATTTGCCGTATTGAGTCCGATCTATAGTATGATTCGGTGTCTTGAAATCGTGGTAACCACTTGTTCAGCTCATTTGCCGGCTGTATTATGGAATTTTTGGACGCGATTAGAACCTGGTAGTGTTAGATGGTGCTCTTTCGGGATCAGGATAGTTTGCTCTACGGTATCCAGAAAACTGGAGCGGTTTTTGCTGCGGCCCCGCCCTGTGCCTGTGTCCATTTACCGCGCCCACCCTGGTCCTTCTTCGCCGGTGTCATGGCGGCGTGTGGGCCATTTTCATCAGCCTTTGTGGCTGGGTGACGCCAGCCTCAGAGGGTCGCAGCGGCGGGACCATGTCGAAGCCCCGGATCGGGGTTTCCTCCGTCGGGCTGCCTGGTCGTGCCAAATAACATGTCAGTGATACCGCTGATCTGCGGACTGCGGTCGGCGTCATCCGGGTATTGAGGGCTATTTTTCTTCAGCCGAGTGTTATGTATTAATGTGGCGGTGATGATCTTCGGTCTTCGGTCATTTGCCGGAATGGATGTCAAAGGCCGCGGTTAAGCCTGGCTCATCTTGCTAGGCATCTAAGGCTGTGCCATTAATCACGACACTTGTTGATAAACGGAACGTCTCGACTTCCGAAGTCTTCCGAAAGTTCATTTCTCTTCCGTGCTTCTTCATTGAATTTCCTTAATTGCTAATCAATGTCACCATCGACGGACTTTTTTCCGCCGAACTTACTACGCCGTGTCGCTGCCGGAGCGGGCTATTTATACTGGCGGGATGGACAGGTCGTTAGCTGGGGCAGCCGGCACTGCCGCTGCAATGGAGGACTGGCCACCGCGGCGCCGAACCGGCACAACCTAATCCCGGCCGTCTGATGACAAATTACTGCGGCACGATGATTGTACGCGCGGCGCCGGCAGTGTTATTATCTCGGCACACGGAACTGGCGGATAGATGTGTCGGTCAGATGCGCGCACACAGGATGTGCCGCGCGAGGCAGATGCGGCGCGATACGCCGATGGTCTGTCCGGTGACCGACAGTGGGCTTAGGTCCGGGGTGCAAGTAATTAAAGATATGCATTGTCTAAGACGCCAGCAATTTCCATAATGCCTTCCGTCTCGCAGATTACTCATTAAATCCAACCATACTGAAAATAAGATATGTAATTGTGGGATTGAGGCTTCCCCTTGAGTTTGATTTCAATCTTGTTTGCTTTGCAGCTTTAGTGAACATAGATATTCATGATTCATGATCACGCAACCAATTTTTGTCACGCCTAAATATTTACAGGGTGTCTCAAAAGTTCGTTTACACATTTCCCATGTCAATAAAGCATATAAGAACCGGCCAAAAATCTAAGGTTTTGGTGTCCGTGTGTACACTAGACAAATATGCATGCTTTGACAACTGATTCGGAAGGTTGGAAACCAAACCCTTTGCTGTATCTCAAAAAATATTTGCCCATGCTGATTTTCGTCACTCCGTCAGCTGCCGGAGGCTGATAAAAGGTTACCAGCTTTCAAGCTCTTGTAGGGGAATCCCCCGCAGTTTCTGCGTCGGATTTAGGTTTGACGAGCTCCCCGGCAACATCCGCTTCTCCCTGAAAGCCGATAGCTTGCATCGACACCATCCGTGAGTATTTTGTAGGTCTTCTCTGGCGCTAACTCCTTCATGAATGACTGGCGCCGACCTCCCAAGCACCATTTTCCTTTTCAAAACAACCCCATTCCTGAACAAATGGGAAGTGCCAGGGGCAAATTTTTCGCAGCATATCGTAGCAGAATGTGTCGGCCATCTGTTTCTTAGACACATTTTGCAAAATTTGCAAATCCCGAACGCTCGTCATTCCCAATGCCAAGACCTTCGCTGGGTTCCGGAGTGTTTTCCTCAGGAGAGGTTCTGCTTTGCAAACGGCCAAAACCTGTCCATCGTGCGGTTTTGTCCGGATTTTGTGTGTAAAAGAAAGCTATTTGCTCCAGATCTGCCTCTTGAAACTTCGTTAGATAAAACTTTACTTTAATTGACACTTTTGGAGGGTCATTTGTCCTCGGCATTGACGATTTTCGCTTTATTTTCCCTCAAAATTTAGCGTTATAGATATTATAAACAATTTTAAATGACATTTTGTCTTTATTTTATGATGACCTGCAATTTTTGAAACTGGGTAACCTCTGTCTGTGAGCTTCTAGTCAGTTTTCAATAGTTAGGACTGCATTTTCAGCTGCTTCCGGAGCACGAGTCTGCTGCGGTACAAGGGTCGTTCAAAGCGCTGTTAGTCTCGCATGGTTTTGTCCTTCAAAAATTTTAGCCACAGTTTTTATTAGATGACCATCATGTTGTACTCATCCTCGCCGACACTTTGCCATGTGTCATTTCCGACCTAACCATTCCCATTACTCGTGAAGCAGAGAGTTTCTCAGCCGACCCGAGTATGCGACCTCCATTTTCATGCCTGATCCATGGTCAGAGGTGAACCCTTTTTGTGAGCTCATGAAGGGTCGAATGCGCTTGAAAACAATGAAGCTGCTTGAGGAAGGTTGTTACCAATGCCCATGCAAAATTTCGACTGTTAATTTCATGTTGATTCAGAATTATTGACAAAAAAGCATGGCTGGTACCTGTAAGCGAACTTTTGAGACACCCTGTATGTTTGCTGGTTATCGACGCATCCGAACCATCCGACGTTTTGTCAGAGTAAATGGTATGTGTGAGTTGCAACTGCCAACATGGTTATCAGAAAATGAGGTCAAGTCATGCACTTTGCGCACATTCTCCATGTTAGTACCTACTTACTGCGCAATGGGGCTCGTCGAATCTGGCCGATGTATTCTAATGACGGCCAAAACGGCGCCCGCCACCACGCCAAGTGCTGATGGACGACCGCTTAATGGAAACATCTACCATGTGTAGATAAGGCCAGCTCTCACAATATGCCGTAACTCAGCGAGTGCATCACCCAAAGCCGCGGCGAGATGAGGCTACCACTCTAGTGGCCGCGTTATAGGGACGGTATACGAGTACGAGCAGACGAGGCAGGCAGCGCTCGATGTTAGAGTTCGGTGGCGGCGCAACCCACGGTGTTGTGGCCGTAAGGTGAATGGTTTGGTTTAGAGATGGGCGGCGCCGACGAGCAGTTACAGTCAGTGCCCGGAGAATGTTTGGTGACAGCCTAGAGACTGTATTTGAGAAAGAATGAAAAGCAGTGCGTTTATTGGTTAATTTGTCACGCACGTTTGTAAACGAGAGTGGATTGTGTCATTTACCAGAACTGACATTTTATTGCGACACCAGCTACCAAAGGCTGCTTGCAATTCAGAAGGCCCGTCGCTGTAGCATTGCGTTTTCTATGAAATTGTAATTTAGCCTTGAGTAAAGAATGTGCTCCACTGTGACTAATACGATCATGGGAACGCTGTCTGCGCTACCGGCAACGCAAGACGCGTATAAATGAATTCGCCGTCATGCCGGTATGTTACATTGCATTAGCAGCATTTGTTATACCTACCTAGCTCAGTTTAAGCTCACGCTGCCATTCTCAGTATATGCGCCGTCGCGACCGACCAGAGTACATGACTACATTCTTTTTGGACCCACAGCTTAGCGACATTCTTACGTTGAATATCCCATTGATATTGAAAATGTGCCATTTATCGAATTTTATTATTTGCAGCATAATTTAGTTTATCTTACGATGAATTTAATTAAAATGATGCTGAAAGATGAGTTTCCAGATTCGGGTTTCAAAAAAAACGCACCGAACCTCCGACTGTTATGGCTATGGGAATATGCTTACTTTGAAGGCTTTTCGCGTCTCAAAAACATGTGCCAAATATGTAGCATCATCGAACATCGAGGATTCACGAGCTTAGCTCCAGCCTAGGCCAAAGAGTCGGTACCGTGCGTATAAGGCTTTTCCCTGGGCAGTAAATAAGACGAGTCTATCGCTAGGATTAATTTCAAGACATGCCTGTGCTCTTGATAGCGTTATTAGCGTTTTGTGCTTCACTTGTAATCACCCTGATGG